CACTTGTTATATTTACTGTGCAGCAGGAGATGCTGAAATTTTACTTCTAGAATGAGCAAGTGTGTAACTCTTTCTCCATTTATATTTCATTCACTTCCATTCGGGCCCGTATCAACTATTCATTCTGACACTATTACAAATTTATAAGAGAACGACGCCTTGTCAAATTTTTTCGCTACATCAAAAAACGATCATGTTGCTTCTGGGTTGCGTAGACGACAGTTCAAATGTACAAAGTCCATTATCTTTTTCCCATATCAAAAAAGGGGAAGCAATTCTACTGACAAGCATATCCGAAACGATGCAGATTTGATCTTTAAATTGATTGCCATTATCTCAAGCTGCGTTCCGAATTCGAACGTTTGAGAAACTGAACATTAGAATGCAGTTACCGTATTTCCTCTCATAAAATCCTACCCTATACCCGTACTTTGAGATCAATTATCTCAGGTCTTAGGAGAGATATCAAAAATTTAACAACTGGGAAAATATTGTTGATATTATGATAGACAGTTTACCAGTTAAATTGTTTTGCTATCTCTCATAGGAAACGAGATAATTGAGCTTGAAGTGCACCAATAGGGTGGGCTTCTATTAGAGTGAGTACGGTAAGTTGAAAACGTTTTAATCATTGGGAGTTATGATAATATTGTTTTCACATGAGCTCGACATGAGCAGGATTTTATTTTGTGATTTCTAATGAAAATATCAACTATAGGTTGTTTAATTTATAAAGTTTGCATATATCCTGATATCAGTTAGAGATTTCATCGGTAAAATATGTTTGTACCAAAAAGCAGTGATAACAATTTTAATTTTATTAAAAGTTTCTAATTAAATTTTTATAGATTAATTTTCATAAAAGTTTCATTTGATGCTCAAAATTCTTATTATCACAGTACCGATTTGAACGTCCATCGATTCATAGTAAAGAGCTTGGTCTAGATTCATGGCTAAACTACATGGGAAATAGTTCGGAGGGCACAGCAAACTTGGGGTCATTGGTGTATTAAATTAATTTTTTTTCAGTAATTGTAGATTTTGAAAACCTAAATAACTTTATACCCCAATGACCCCAAAATTGCTGCACCATCCGAATTATTTGCTTTTTCTTCAGTGTATTAGAAGTTTCAGCTATCTGAGCAAACTGCAGTCTTTGTCTAATTTCAAATTATTGACTTGCAATTTCAACAACTCTTCCTATGAGTAATCCAGGAAAAATCATGCAAATCTCGCTGATCCACATTATTCAATCCTTCCCAAGTTTAAACTCCCCCGCCTTTTTTAGACAACATTACTTTCTCTCTATTCCGATTCCCTCCTTACCTCAATATACAAAATGAGTCATTTCTTGATCAAATAATAAACGAATCGATTTTACAGTCCTTTTCTCTCTCCTATTCTTACTCCTCCCCCTTCATTTTCAGTCTTTTACAAATGATACTGTTTTCTCCGGATCCCCCGCTCATCTTACTTCTTCTGCTTTTGTATTATTCTTTTCCTTCTCTTCTAATCGGACAACGTCAACACTTTTCTGTATCGCCGATACGTTCTGAAGATAACGAAGAAGACGGCACTAGCAATTTATTAGCTTTTCTTCATATTTTTCGACTTCTTTTTCTCCTTTTTTCCACCGGTCGGTCGGCGGGGGCTATTATCGTTTGCCATCAAATCCCTCCACACCATCTTCCTCCTTCCGAATCTTAGTTTCTGAGAAAAGATCATATTTATTCACACTTTTCCCCAAAAATTATTCGATAAATGTAAACATGGATACGAACTACGAAAATTTTGATGTTCTTTGCAACTTTTTTTGAGGGGTACTGTACGATTAAATCTGAAAATTTTGAGATTGTTCTATCCGGAGTAGTTCCACCTTCGATCGGAATTATTTTTCACTCTTTTCAGAAAATTCCAGACCATCTGATTTTTGTATCTTGCCATTCTTCTAAACAGCTTTTTGTAAATATTTATTTACTATAGTCGGCTCAAAATAAAGCACAATTGCATTTTCAACGAATTACTGGGCCATTTTCGCCTCCTTGGCTTTTTTTATACCTCAGAACGATCTTTCAAAAATTGTAAACCGAGATGAACACACACTAAAACCGAACTTGTCATATTTACTTCTTCTAATATTATCTGTTGATTTTTATTCTGTTTATATAAGTCCTACTGACTTTTGAACGATAGAATCATGATCTTTCTTATCAACAATCAGGAGGAAAGAGGGAGTTTCGAAAACATAACGAAACAGTTGTTTGCAGAGAAAAGCAACTGAAAAACAAAACAATCACAAGGCGGGGGTGCTGAAAAAGATACAAATAATTGTGTGGAGGCTAAAAATAGATTAGCCAAGGATATTTTTAGATATTTTCTATCAAAAGGAAACCTTGGTCCTTGTTAATTTTTCATTAATATCATGTCATTCTGCTCATCTCAGTTTTGGGATAATCTTTGTTAGGCCCATATATCTCATTTTATATAAAAGATATGAAAAAGTTGTCAAGTGACAAAATGATTTTGATATTATGGTAAACATTTTATTACTTGACCAATTTTCAAAATCTTTCATAGGAACAAAGATATATGAGCTCAAAGTTAACGGTTACGGTGGTCTTCTATTAGAGGAAATACGATATTCCGTTTTGCATCAACCAGAATCCCTGAAACAGTTTTGAAATTCCTAATATGCTTCGAAAAGTTGCGTCACGCTTTTCTCGTCTTGAAACACGGCTTGTTTTGTTACGAAACCTACCACAATACCTCATTCCAAAAAAAACCGAATGCAAATAGAACGAGGAAAAGCTCCGCCTATTTCTTCCTTATGCATTCCTTTCAAAATTAGCTTGGAGAACAGTTCCAAAATATTTTTTTTCGTGCTAGCTAGCCGCAGTGGACCAAGCTTTTGCAAAATTTTTATCGTCTCTTATCACGTCATCAATCATATCGATTGCTGATTTTTTCCGCCAAAATCGTATCATATGACACTTTCTACTGCCTGAACTTTTGAATAGAGGTGTTTCGAAGGAATGTTCTTGAGAGCAAACAAATTAAAAACAAATGATAAGAGGAAGAGAGACCCAAAGGGCATTTGAACTTCTTTTAACAGAATGAGAGACCCAGAGAAAAGTGCAATTTGTTCCAATTCTTCGAAATGATGTTCCTCTTTTCCTCCGGACTTTTCCCTCATCTTCTTGTCTCATATGTAAATGATCCTTCTACTTCTCTATGTCTCTCAATCTCTCTCATAGTCCACGGAGCCATGCCGAAGACATTTGGCTCGTAGAAATCATTTCTCACCGTTGTTCTCTACCGCTCTCTCTGATCAGTCGTCTCTCGCTTGTTTATGTGTATTTATTTTTACGTGTGTTCCGGTTCGAGGCAACGGATTGTTGGCTCCGCGCACCGCGTCATTGGCTCCGCGTGGAGTGTGAGCTTACGTGTTTTCCGGCCACACGGGCGCCCGTTGCCTTCCGTCAACCGATCCATTTTTCTTGGCACGTTTTATGCTGTGAATGAATGAATACATCGAGTCACCTGATTTTTCAGGAATTCTCTGTTCAGAATACAGTACCATCATTTGATTAGGACCCATTCCACATGTACCTTTGAATCTGAAACTTTAAATTAGTCAGAACCTGATACATAACACTTTCAACCAAAGACTTCCAACATGTCTTTTAAAAGTTCGAAAAACATAATTCCGCACATAATCTTTTGACTTCTCTATTGTTAGGCCTTGTCTGGGTTACACAATTGAAATAAATTCGTCCTCCTTTTTTTTTCAAAAAAAAACACGATTTTTGGAACTTGCATATCCGGAAGATCACCAAAGTACTGTATAGTATAAGATGATATTTGTTTTACGTTCTCTATTTATTTGCCAATACAGACTACATACTTTTTCCTCCAGCACATTCTTTGGAGCACCCCGAACTTTGATTCCTTCATTCATTTTTTCGATTGAATTATCATCTAGCTGTACAGTGTGAAGCATAATTACCAGGACTAAAGTTTGTACTAGTATAAAGTTTGAGTGATCCGCTGTACCAGGCTCAAATTAGGAAAGCGAAAATTCAAATAATTCATCAGTAAATTGACCGAGTTTAAAATTATTTGATCAACTTTGGGAGGAGTTATCACTTGTCAAAGTTGCTTCGTCTCATGGAAATCACAAGAAACATAACACCGTTCATTTTTGGACAATATAAAAGAACCTTGAGGAATTGCTGTGAAGTTTTCAGTAACTTTGAATCAAACTTAAAATTATATTTCTACAAATTCTCGTGCTTTCAATATGCCTATGTCTAAGGATATACCCGTTTTTATTAGTCCGGTCACCTTGTAATGGATTACTAATGTTACACAAATCTGCCCGGCAATTGTATCCTTCCCTTTACCAGAATATTTTAAAAACTGAGTTATTCTCGTATTTTCAAAACCCTCCTTCCATTTTTTTCAATTATCATATCTTCTGAGAATCAGTTAAATCTATTTATCTGTTTGTCCACAACTTCTCCGCCCTCCAAGATTTGACCTCTCTAGAACATTTGTCCTTCTTGGTGCCTGGCTCTCCAATGTCCAGCAGTAGCAGCTGTCTTTTTTCTATCTATCTCTTCCATCCAACTGTTGTCAGAACTTGATTAAATATGAATGTGCGTAAGTATTGATTCGAAAAAACTGACCAACTTGTGTTTGAACAGCTTCCTCCGAGCGATCTACACTTCAATTTTGAAAATCTACTTTATTTTTTCAAAACATCGTTCATTATAATCTTCCCTCAATCTGTCACCTCAAACTGTTACAATTCGGAACATGTCTTATCATATCCCTTTTCTCTCCTTCACACCTTTTTCCTCTGTTTTTCTATCTATTCAACAATGTGTTCTCTTCTTTTCCTTCTTGTAGTCCTTCCTTCTGAACCTTTTCTTTCAAATTTCAGTTTCACTTTCATCCTTATGTTCAGGTCCTCCACATTTCTAGACTCATCCGATGAAATGGCTGATTCAACCTTCGCTGAACACGTGGCAACCACCAATACTCGACTAGCTTCCCTGAGATGTGTAAGTTAGGATTTTTTGGAGCTTCATCGGAAATTTACAAATGTTCAGAACCTAGTTGATCCGATGACGTTTCCGGAAGCATGTAGTGAATTGACGAAATGGTGCACAGATCAACGTGCATTCACCGCCAATTTCGAGGATAATCTGATGGCCGCACTTGAGGTAAAAGCAAAGAACAACTCGTAAAACCTGTATTAAAAGGGTTCTCTTGATAGAAAGGCCTTCCAGAGGTATCTTGGAACCATAGAAAGGCTTGCCGCCTTCTAATACAGGTTTTACGGTATTTGAAACTATTTGAACCAAGCATACTGACCTCTAATCTGAGGAATTTTTCAGTGCGCAATGGACTATGGAACTCGGGAAAACTACGACTACATGCTGACGCATGGACTAGTCGGAGCATGTTTCACTCATCGGAAGCACCTTTCTAAAAATTCGGCCAGTAAGTTTTCTCAATTTCCGGACGGGATGATCTGTCTGGAACTTAGTCAGAATGGGAATAGAACTTTCATACCGGAAATGACTTTAGTGCAGATGAAAGTTCGAAAATGAAATGTGCCAAACTCCCATTCAACCGGAACTCCCTCCCATACAAAATATTGATTATATATCACTTATCAATTTCTCCACACCTTTCTCTTTCCGACTATTTTTTGTGACTTTATCAATTTCCTTTTTTTTCTCCAACTGCACAAAACATAGTACACCTGAACGTTTCGAAGAGTTCATAAATCACATTTCTTTGCATAAAAAGAGAAAGGAAGAAAGGTGAAAAAAGGTCTTAAAAGAAAAGAAACGAAATTCTAGTTTTTAAACTTTTTATTCAAAGCAAATATGGAAAAAAAATAGCGAAAGTAAGAATGGAACAAACCGGAAGGTTAGGGAATGATACTTTTGTTGAACAGTATCTCGAAAAATCTACATAATTGCTGAAATTGAAATTGGACCCAGTTTTATCTGAAAATCACAAATCATAGCAAATGAAAAATCCTGAAAATGAAGTAATCTCAAACCTGTATTACACTTTTACAAAAATCGGGATGTGGAAGAGAAACGCCGGTGGCCGTTGCCGAAGGTCCCACAACGACAACTACAGTAACCTAAAAATAGTTTGATTTTCAGGTAGTTATCTTCTCGTTTTTACGGATTTTCGTCGATTTTCGTATTGTAAGCAAATGCAAAATTTTGATAGGGAAAAAATATTGACGGAAAAATAACAAAAATCGAGAAAAATAACTCTGTAAACAAAAGTATTTTTAGGTTACGGTAGTTGTCGTTGTGGGATCTTTGGCCACGGCTACCGACATTTCTCTTCCAGTGCTCTAATTTTTGTACCAGCAAATAATTTGCCCCACAAAAAACTTTTCTCTAATTTCTTCCATTTTCAGCTCGCATCGTCGCTGGTACGAACAAATGCGTCGGTTGAAGAAGAACGGTGGAAAACGAAAACGCGCTCCACCGAAACCCAAAGAACCGATTGTAGTCGTTCCAGTGCAGCAGACAAATGGAGCACTTCCAGTGCTCACGTCACCATGCGGTGGTCCTTCATCGGCTGCTCCCCAACAGAATGGAGCAGGACAGCCGAGTGCTGCTGAAAACAACATGTTCTCGCCAACAAATTCTGACGGGTTAGTTTTGGTTTTGTTTGCGCGCTCCGTAATTTTTGATTAACCAGTCAGATTTGTGAGCTGCTCTCCTTCTTTTTTCTTAACTCGGTTTTATGGATATTTGTATGTGTTTTAGCGGTGTTTAGATTCTAATCGGGGTGGGCAGGGGTCTTGTTATTTAGATTAAAATCTAGAAAAGGATATGGAAAAAAACTAGAATGTGGATATCATTTTTTTTTCAGTTTTGGTTTGGAAACTTCAGTAGTCTTCTTCTAGAATAGTATGGACTACATTTTCACATCCTTATTCCATGTTCACTTTTTTGAAGTAAATTCAAGGATGCAGACGCTTCCTTCCTGACAATACGTAGCTACAGTAACCCATAAGTCTTATCTCCCTCATAATCCGTTTCCTTAACCCAACATCATCTAGATCCCTCATGTCACAAAACATAGTTACTTTTGTGTCTTGAATATATCTGCTCCATATTCTCGATGCTCCCTTTTCTTTCTTACTTCTTCCACTCTCAAATTTGGGCATACATGAGACGGCATCACATCAGCCTTCTTCTTGTTTTTCTTTCCATCTTGGATTCTTTCTCATTTTCCTTCTCTTTCTTCTTCTTCTTCTTCTTCTTTTTATTCTTCCATGTTCATATTCGTTTCTGAACTCCACCCCATTTTAGAGAGTGAGCTCACCGATGGAATAAGAGCCAAAAGAGCACATATGTGTGTATATATGTGTGCATTTTCGAGTCGAGGAGGAGAAGGACCAGGCGAATTTTCGCTGCTCTTGGCGCCCGTTTCTTCATCAATTAGGGTAGGCAAAAATGGGCATGGAGAAACAGAGAAAATACGAAGGTCCCTCACATTTTGTGTGTGTTTGTTGTGGTCCCGTCTTTAAAAAAAAAAAGAAAGGCGTTGGAGAGCAAACGAGAAGCACGTGATCTGTCATAACCTGATATTCCATTTTTCATTTTTCAAGTGGGAAATTTAAGACTGCGGTGGGTTTTTTGTGGGCGGAGTCAGAGGTCGAAGGAGGAAGTTGGAAACTAGAATGACTCATTTATGGAGATATTAAGGGCCAAGAAATGTAATAATCTAGTTTCGAGTTGAAGCGTTCCTGTTTTTGGACTCAAATAGGTTGAGTTTCCCGTAAAACCTGTAATAGAAGGGCCCCATTCACTGGCTTTGAGTTCAATTATTTAAATTCCTATGTAAGATATGAAAAATGTATCAACTGACAAAGTGTTTCTGATATTATGATGAACAATTCGTCAGTTGGCTCTTTTATAACAGGTTTTGCGGTATACTAAGCTTTTGTGTATTCCTTTCTAAAATTAACTAACTGATGTTTTTATAACCGAAAAATTTACTTTTCTTCTATTTCCAGATTTCGTACCAAAAAACCATAGATTAGAACATTCGACACACCCTCCTAGACGAGGAAATCCACAAAACGTCATAATCTTTGCAAGCAGTCAAATATTAGGTCTCTCCTTAAGATTAGTGTCTAGGACCAATCAACCAGGATCTTAATTTTTTTTTCGCAATCTAGAAGATGTGCCACTTTTTAGTTCAGAACTCTAAAATTCTAAATTCGGAACTTTAAGATTTCCAGTTCTCACATGATACTCCGTTTTGCAAATGGCTTATGAATGTTAAACCTAGATTAGATTTCGAATTTCGAAACGAAAAACCCTCGGGACTACATAATCGCAGCTCAACTGTATTTTGCTCGAAAATATAATTTTTTTTTTAAACCGCGAAAACTGTTTTCCGTTTTGTCACTGCTCTCTACGTCACGGGTAGCACCATCGTTTAACTTACCGAAACAGTTTTATTGCGTTTCTCCCGAAAAGTATAAAAGCTAGAAATCGAATCTCTGGAATCGAAACATGTATTCCTCTATTCCCTTTCCTGATTTTCCTGAAGAATTCATTCCAGATTATCATGAGTGAGTCCATCATCATACATCTTTTTCAGCACAATCTAATCCCCCTATTGTTTTCGCTCTCCTTCTAAATCCATGGGCACAGATCAGAAGAAACAGTGATCTGATCATGAGCAAACAGTAAAACACGGGAAAGTGTTAAGTATCCATTTCCTCATAATCATACAAAGTACACCCAAACGTTTTCTGCACATAGGCTTCCCCACAAAAAATATGAACATTGAATAATTGAATGACAAGACGACGGAACACACCTTTTCTGTGTAAGGTCATTCTGATCCGTCTTCTTCGATAGTTTTCGTTGAGCGGAAGGAAAAGAGGAAGACAACCAGGTGTCCGAATATAGAGGGGTACCAATACAATTGGTTTTATAACCGCATCGTTGTCTTTCGATTCCTTCTTGACAGCCATTAGACAGTTCAGTTTCGCGCCGAAATGTTCCGAGAAGAAGACGTTGGCCTATGTACCGTGGTTCAAGGTTAAACTGACAAAAGTAACTAAGTCACAGAGGAAACACTTTCACTTCTCGTCTTGACGGAGTTTGTAGTTTGGGTGACTGGCCTAACTTTTTACAGTTGGGGTTTTCTAGGCCATGCTTCCTTTAGTTTCATTGATCATATAACCTTGATCAATGATCACTACAAAATTCTTCTGGACAAGGTGAAAATCTACCAGTCGAGTGAAAATCGATGACGATAGAGGATACCTGAGAATCTGGTTTATGCATTCCGTTGATCATGTTCTTCACTTCTGACGACTAGTTGGTTGCACGGATGAGAAGGTGTTGCATGGTAGAGAAGCCGTGACCAGCTATTCGTGTTTTGGATTGGGTTGACGTAGGCATCCAGGATCTAGATCTCGCTATGTACAGTAAGAAGTTGAAAAGAGTAAATTATCACAGATGAGCATATTTTGTATGCTGGATAAAAAGCGCTTTTCTCTTTGACTGTAACATGGAAAATCGGATTTTTCTGGAATAGTACAGTCTCTTGAAAATTGATTTCTCTCGTTTTTCATAATGAACCATCTTATCTGCCTCGCCTCTGGCGCGCCTCTGGCGCGATTGGTTTATTTCAAATCTTATCGAAAATTGTGCGAATAGATAAACTGATGAAGAGACGCAACTTCCTTTATTTATGATAAAAATGATGATGATTCAGATTTGAGTATAATTTTGCTTCTTGCACTTTTATCTTGAATTAAAAATTGACATTACGGTTTTGTAGTGGTATTCGAACTTATTAGGGTTGTTGCGAGCATCATCACGAAAAAATGCAGATATCACTTCTGAAGTTAAAATGCCTCTGAGATGGCTGTATATCTGGGATCAATGTACCTTTGGGATTACTGTATCTTGAGTCACTTACATCCCTCTCTTCCAGATACCCCGTTTTCTCGCAGTCCCAGATTAACCGTTCATGCCCTGTTCTTCCCAGAGCGAATTCATTCACCCCTCTATTGGCATCCGCGACGACCCGGGCGAGATAAACATGATTCGAATGAGCCGGTGTGGGTCTATGCCTGTCACTACCCGTTTCTTTCTCCACCTTCTCCTCTCAACACGACGGAAAATTGTCTTCTTCATTCTCGCCTAGCCTCACTCGCCCCAACGCCGAAAATAGCGTACAGTTCGTCGGAGACGCAGAGCGCGTACTGTCAACCTCCCCTCTGAACGCAACCGCGCGCGCGCACGGGCAACAGCAGTCCAAGGAGGGCACAACACTCCCAAAAGCTCTCCTCTCCTTTCTCTTCTTCTTCTTGCTTTCCTCTCTCACTCTCTCCCGACGACCCGCAACACAGAGACTCCAGATAGTAGATTGTCTGCTTCTCTAGTCCGGATCATACTCTCCTTCCCTCCCTCATCTTGTGTCTGTTTCCATCCGAATTGCTTTCGGGTGGGATGGCTGGGTCGTCTTCTCGTCCATCGGTGTCCTGTCCTCCTCCAAACATTCCTCATCCATTTCTCTTTTTCGAAAAAGCCTAATATTATGACTCTCTTTTTTCTATCTATCCTATAGTTTGACACTAACTGGATCCTTTTTTGATTACAGACAACATATATCCCTCCCCAACATTTTCAGTCTCGACATTCGATTTGTTTTTTTTCTCTTTTTCTATTTTGTGTTCTTCCTCTTCCTCTTCTATATCCTTTCTATCCATCCTTCCAGCAGCAGCCACCATTTTCTCCAAATCATCTGTGTGTTTGCTTCTTTCTTTTTTTGTTTATGTGCTCTTTCTTTTTCTTCCTGAAGAGCACACCAGAAGACATTCGCCAGAAGTTGTGTCTTCTCACTAACCGAATTCGGTAAATAATGGGAAGAGGAAGAAGCGGTGTGAGTATGTGGAAGAGTAGAGGACGAGAACCCTGAATATACAAAGGAACCCACGTTTTCAGCCCCCGGCTGGCGTGTTGTTCGTCCATTTGCTTCTTTTTTTTTGGTTGGCATCTAACTTATTGCCAGGTCCACTATACTATTATACAGCTTTGGTTAATGTGTTGAATGTATTACGAATTCCGCTAGGCTAGTTCCAGAAGCTTAAGGTAGTGGGCTTCATGTTCACACTGGCCTAACTTTTATTGCCTAAATCCTAGAAAACCTGGGGGAGCGTTGGAGCTTGAAGCTCGCTATCAGTTCCCAGCCCTATCTTCTAGTTCCTACCAGAGATTTCGAATTTACCGCCTACTCAATTTTTTTCAAAGCTACCTCGGGCAGTGACTTACTTTCCACCTGTCCTGTATTTGACCACTTTTGGGTACACACTGTTCTTCTAACACCCGGTTTTTTGATTGATAACTATTTGCTCTCCCATTCCCTTGTATACATCTCCAGAAGCTTCCTCAGATCCTTCGGATTCCATTTCCAAAGCTAGAAAAAAAAAACAAAAAGAGCATCCGCACTCGGATCGTCCTTTTTCTGATGCCCGCCCTGCATGCATGCCTCCAACAAAACTCTTCTCCTTTTTTTGCCCTTTTTTGGTTTTGTGTTTCTGCTTTCTCTAATCCTCTTCATCTCATACACTCTTTTGTTATCTGTGAGGAGCGAGGGTTCAGTTCTTCATTGTTCTCATTGTGACAGACAAAAAAGGCTTTCAGGTAAGAAGACTGAAAATTGAAACTTCTTTGTTTCTGATTTTGATTCTGACGATGTGAAAGAATCTTGACTTTTTAGTAAGCTACACAAATCAATAAATTTTATCTCTCTTTCTCCAGTTCTTTTTTTTCCGAATGTTTGTGTTTTTTTTTTCATCCCGTCGTCATCATCTTCCGCTTCTTTGTCTCCCATTTTACTTGTTTTTTTCTCACTGGGTGTGCGGGGCTGAACAAGAAGCAAAAGCCTTCTTCTTCTTCCTTCTTTTTTTGCTTTTTATTCCTTCAGAGCGTTCTTCTTTTTTTACTTCTTTTCTCCATGACCGCCAGCCGGCTGGAGCTGAAAATGAAGAACGCACGTAGTAGAAGACGTTGAAGGAGAGGGTGTGCTAGAAGACGTTAATGGTGACGTCATCCCGGAGACACCACCACCACGACGACGACGCCTTCTGCCGTTTAGGAGACTCTTGGAATCGTGATGGAATGGATGTCATTCGAGAAGAGGAGGCGTGGCTCCACCAGCCAGCTGAAAGCATGTTTTACACACATTGTGTGACTCAAATCAATTTTTTTTCATTTCCTCCTTAGTCCAGTTGTCTCAGAAGTAATATGTATGTATTGTGCCACCACGTCATCCGGACAAGCAGAAGCCAAATTCTAAGAATGGGGTGGGGATGTTCTTATTTCCCTGTCTATTTTTGTTGACCTAAAAGTTTTAAATTAGGATTTTCTAGACGTTTTAGTTCAAAATAAGCGTTCCTTCTAACCCAGAATCCCCTATCTACCTTTTCCATCTTTTGACCGTCTGCCCCAAATTTCACTTTTTGTACCATAAACGGCCACATACAGAGAGGTCACAACCTTCTGAAACTGGTTTCCCTTTCTAACTACGATCGTTCTGAAACTATATTAGTTCTTAGCCTTTTCCATCCATATGACCAAGACTCCGCCCACTTCTAGAAGACTGGGGACACACCGGGAAAAAAAAAGACTCGAAGCAGCAATAAACCTAAAAAGAAAAGGAGCGAGAGAGAAACACACTCAAAATATTGGAATTAGAAAATCCACACAACTCATTTTTTTCTTATATGTATTTTCGCCTTCTCCTTTTCTGTTTCGTTTTCCAATAATCAATTGCTCTCTCTGCGACCTACGCAAATCGAACTGTCTTCCTCCTCTTCTTTTTTTTTCCTTTTCTTATCATATGGAGTATTTCCCAGATGGAAAAAAATTGAACGAAACTATCTTTTTTCTGGTTTGTAGCTTCTCCTCTTCTCCAACGATCACATAAAGTGCATAAGAATAGTTTATTCAGTATATGGAGAAGAAGCAAAAACACAAGGAATGGAATTCTTTTCTCTGTATGAATTCCACAAAAAAAGAACACATTTGAGAGGGGAAGACACGCAGCCGATGACTTGACTTTCGCTAATGAACATGACATTTATCCGGTCGAAAGATGAAGAAGACGTGGAGAAGACTAGAAGAGACACCGTCGGAATTTCCATTTCTCCCGAAAAGCCCAAAAAATATTCTGTGTGATCTTTTAGATGGATTTTTAGGATAACAACATGGTATCGGGAATTTATTGGGCTACTAGCACTTTCGTTTTTATATAAAAATCTAGGTATCACTGCATTCCTACTTTTTTGAAATCCATATCATTTTTCCTAGACCATGTTCTGGTCCTAGTCCACAAGGGTTTTTCCGTCACCCTTCGTGAGAAGATTCTTGTCAGAAACATCGTGTTCTCCCACGACTCCTCAAGAATTCCCACACAAAGATTTTTATCTAAGCGTTCCTTGTGAGATTACGGTACCGGGGTCAATTTTTGGTGCATGCTCTTTTCGAAGAACAAAGTCGATTACGATCTTTAGGATGAATACTGATTCCAGGTATCGTAAGTCCAAACTTCATTTGAGTCTAGTTTTCCCCTAAACTCTAGAACCATCTGGAACTTTGAATCGATCGTCAACATCCCCAAACACATCGTTGTTGACGAACAACATTCCCAAATATTTTTCCCCCTCTCCTGTTCTCTGTTCCAACTAACCGACTGACCCAAAGCCATGTGACCCATAGAGAGAAGAGTCTCTTCTGCTGCTGTTTTTTTTTTATTTTCTGGATTCGTCTTCTTGAAGGAGGATGGCAAAAAACGGTATCACGAGATGCGCGAAGACGCTCTCTCCATCTCCTTGTGCACTTTGGCTCCGAAAATAAGGAGAAAAAGGGGTGACTTATTTTGTCTTCTTCTTCTACTTCTACTTCTACAGACGAAGGCACGACGCCACACCATACCACCACCCTCCTATTCTCCAGCATCGTCGTCGTCCAGTATATGCCTCTCGTTGGGGGTCTCTTCCCTCCTCGTGTTTTAAGGGAAAGGGGTAACAGGGAGACAGTAGAAGAAGAAGAGACATGTCTTCTTCTTCTTCTTCTTCTTCTTCCACCCCGAGTCTTTTTGCTGTGTTGTGTGTGTGTGTGTAGAGGGACAGAGAGTGCGCGCGCAGGCACTCTTTTCTCTCTTTTCCCTTGTATTGGATCTGAGTGTGCGACTCTCTGCGTCTCTGATGCACTGCAACACTGTCTCAACACTTCTCATCACCCTCTTCTTTTTCCCTGATCTCTTCTCCATCGTCACCATCATCATCGTCGTCTTCTCCCCTTTACTCCTCCTCCTTTTCCTCCTACTCCTTCTTCTTATTCTACTACTCTTCCAATATGCCCTTACTATCCTATCACACAAATCCGCAAAAGACGCCTTTTTCTGATATATAACTTCTCACCTGTTCGTTTTTTTTCCTTTCCACCCGCGCCCCATGTTCTTCTTTCCATGCTCTTTTCTCTTTTCCCTCCGTATCTTTTTTTTTCGTTTTTCTCTGCGCCTCAAGGGCATTCGAGGGGCGGAGCCCGAACGCTCATGCACTACTGACCTAGAAAGTGTGTTAGTCAGTCTGAGTGAGAGTCCTCACGTATCCTTTTTGCTCACTCGTTTTTTTTAGGATCAGAACCTTCTACTGTAGAAAGGCCACATATGATCTTTGGGCCTAAAACGTCATTCTTGTCTTTTAGGACTGAAAATTACAACGAACCGAAAAAAAGACTCTAGAAGTTTTTGGACCTAAAATTTTTCAAAAAAAAAGTTTTGATCTACAAAAATATATTTTTTGGACAATCGGTGGACAACGAAATTTTTTCGAGTATTGATTAAAAATTTTAAAAACTAGAAACAGGTCTTGATTATCAAATTCTCTGTCCTAATATTTTTTGGCCTAAAAAAAATCAATAACCTATCTTATGTAAACCTCCCTCTTTTTTTTCCACCTGTCCTAGATGTTGTGTGTTTTCTTTTTTTCTAACCTCAACAATTATCTCGAAATCTCTCTTAACTTCCGTTTTTTTGTCAGATCAATGTGGGCACCACCAGGGGTCCCTGGCTCTTCAGCCGGTCACATGCAACCGGGAGGCGCCACTCCCTATCCGGGACCAATGAACCCTGGACAACAAGGCCAAGGGCCACATCCAGGAATGCCCGCTGCTTATTCTGCTGGACAGATGCAATTGCCTTACGGACAGATGGAAGGCAACCATGCCATGTACGATCAACGAGCGATGGCGAATCAAAGAGCTGCGGCTGCCGCTGCTGCCGCTGGACGGCCTCAAGGCATGATGCCTCCTGATTATCCACAAATGCCGATGGGACAGAATCCGTAAGTTGCACTCATCCGATAGATCAGCACTTAACCCATTTTCAAAGTTTTTTCAGAAATCAAATGATGAGAATGCCAGTTCAATATCCTCCTGGACACCCCCAAATGCCAGGACACCCCCAAATGCAATACGGACAAATGGTAAGTTGATGGCTTCAGTAGAACATTTTAAATCCCGATTCAACTAGTTTCAGATGAGAGCTCCACCAGTCTCGGTATACGGTCAGATGCAACACGCTCAACAGTACGCAGTGACGGCTCATCCGAATCCAGCCACGCCGTTCATTTTACCAGAAGTTCGAGCGTTATACGAAACTGGATGTGGATATTTGGTTGAGAGGGATTTATGCTCAGAAGGAATGATTCCATTCGGAACGACTGGTGTAGATGCAATAATCACTCCAGATGCCTTTGGATTTTTGGAAACGTAAGTTTCCTAGTTTTAATATATCTTTCCAAAACCAATACATTTCCAGAAACCCAATGGCTGATGTGATTCTTTCGGTTTGGCCATCGGTGAAAGGAGGAAATGAGCAAGAAACTCGATTCCAAGTCTACGTTAACAATGTATGCGTGCTCAATGATGAGGCTCCAGTCAAAGTAGTATCTGTCAAAGCACTCCTGAGATCTGGTCCGAATAGGATTCAATTCGGATACTCTGGACCACAACAAATACACAGTTTCGCTTGTGAATTCGTCACCAAAAGAGGTATTAGTGAGATGCGAAGTTTTGTGATGAGGAAGAGAGGAGCTGAGGCAAATCTATTGGCCAATCAACAGAAAAATATCCGTAAGTCTTGAAAATTATCAGTTCAGAAATGCAAAGCAACACATTTTAGATCAACAAAGCGCCCTCAAGAAGAACGCTGGAATCGTTACTGTCGGTTTGAACTGCGGCCTGACGAAGAAGAGAATGCTCACTCCTGCACGTCATCATGATTGCAAAAAATGCGTTTTCGACTTTGCTCAATTGATCAATATCAACAAGAACAAGACGAGATACTACTGCCAATCTTGTCAAGCACACTTCAAATTGGATGATATCAATATCGATTGGTTCTTGATGAACTTTACCACCGCTTGTCCCGCCGGAGTTAATGAAATCATTGTGGACAAGAATGGAGCATGTCGACCAGGAGATGTTGAAGAGGTCAAGCCAAAAAGAGGAAAGAAGAAGGCTGAAGCAGCGGCGGCGGTCGCCATGGACGGAGGAGCTCATCCGATCAAGAGAATCAAGTCGGAGAGTCATGTGAAACAAGAACCAGGAATGTTCCCTGATATGCACGGACGGAATATCCCATTCAGTCCGATGCCAATGCCCGGAAGTGTTCCTCCAGACTGGACAAGACTGCAAAGTCCATCGTTCTCAATGCAAAGTCCAAATAAGATTCAACTCGGACCAGCCACTCCAGCCACTCCAGGAATGGTGTTCCAGAATCCCGCATCCGCTGGATCCATGTTGAATATGTCGTCGCCACGGGGAACAATGCTTCCACCACATCATCCAATGATGCCTCCACACGATCCATCGATGCACATGAGATCCGGATCCGCTCCATACACTCCGGAATCAGTGAAAAATGATAAGAACGATGAGTTGTTGATGAACATTGAAGGATTGTACATTACGGAACAGAACATTATTGATGATCCACGTCTGTACCCACACTATGTCGAGGGAACGAAGGAAGTCATTTTTGAGGATATTCTGGTTTACGAAGTTGTAAGTTTCAAATTGTTTCGATTATTAATATTATTGATTTTTCTTTTCAGGAAAACTCCCCAAAAGAGGTTCAACCCTCTGAGAATACCCATACTCTACTGGCTCCAGGAAGCACGTCTTCATCGAATGCTTCAACATTCACACCTCCATTTGATGATATTCATCTCGGAAACCGTCCATCTCATTAGATGATTCTCTTCTTTTTCTTTGATAGCGTGCCTTACGAATACCGTGCCCAACTCAACTCCATCCCGGATGATACTAAACTGGACTTCTTCTCTTCTTTTCAAAAAACCATACACCGATTCTTGTCGATTCCCAATTATTAATTTTTGTTAATCTCGTTCTCGTTTTTTTCTTCAGCCAAGTGTTTGACCCATATTGCTTCCACACCCCCAAAAATCGCTAGTCATTTGTTCGTTTTCCCTCTGCCACGTCATCTACAGTAGTCATCATGCTTGTTTCTCGTTACATTGTGATTAGACGCCCCATAAAATTATCTCTACTCTCACCCCAAATTCACTATCTCTCACTCGGAAAAATGCAATAGTACTATCTATATCTGTTTCCAGTTTCCCTCCTCCAATCCATCTCAAAAACTATAATTAATGTTTTTTTTATAATCAAAATTTGAATCCCCATCAAGGCTGAGCCTTTCCATTGTTTCGCTGTTGATCCCCCATCCATTTGCTTTTGACCCCCAATCCACGTGGCCTCCTCGTACCTGTTTCCCGAGTGAGTCCTCCCTTTTTAACCAATAGAACACTAAAATATCCCGTATTTTTTCCGTCCAACCACCCCAATTCATCATCTCACAAACGTTGTCGTTCCCAGTTTTCGCGTAGGGTAGATTTTACATTGAAAAACAATAATGATTGAAATACAAACAAATCCCTCCTCCTTTTTAATTGTGCCCTCTCCTCTCCATTCTAAATGTGCTGACCTAGAATTCTTTTTTTAGGCCATCATTTTCAGAACGCACCTGTGAAATAAACTGTCTGGCTGGGCCAGACTCTATATGTATATTATGGAGCATCTCCCCCGAATCTTTATGTTTCTTTTCTCTCCGTTTCTCACTCACTTTCAACCCACCCCACAAAAACTCCCATTTCCAATTGATCTTGGTCCTCGTTTACCCATTTATACACAACCACAACAACAAAATCCTGACTAAAATACAATAAAAATATTAAATTTTCATTTGGTGGTAATTTTTAAAGATAACACAAAAACACCGGTCTAGAAATGAAGTGACAATTTTGGAGATCAATGAGTTTAAAGAAAGGAAACTTTTCAGATTGAAACTGTGTAGTCGTAGCTTGAAGGTTCGGATTTGACAACGACTGGAAGGCTATAGTATTCGTTGAGATATTCATTTCCATTTGCGTCTTGCATCTGAAAATTTACAACCATACATTTTCCGAAAATTCCCTCAACTCACCGCCACATAAACTGGTATGAAACTCTGATCCATTGAAGATCCTTCCATTGATGATTTTCGTTTTCGAGATTTCCGCTGCTCAGGAGAACACGCAGGTAGGAGGACTCCGGTAGCTCGAAATCTGAAAAAAGTTTTCAACAAGTTCTTAAGTGGTCCATTTTCCTTGTATTAATGCGGAAAATTCCAGAAAAAAAATCTGAAATCCCCAAAAAACGCCGGTGAAAATTAGAAAAAAGGTGGAAAGAGGAACGAGGATTTGAGTTTCCAAAATTTTGATGCATTTTGATGCCCCCTTTAAATCTATATTTTCCTCAAAACCCCTTTTCACCTAAAAAAATACATTTTGCTGCCCTATTGCAATCTAACCTCCAACCATACAAAACTTGTAGGTTTTTTTGCTGAATACATTCGTTTTTTTTTCAAAGAACATCATTCAGACATTCCATTTTGAATACCTAATCAAGTGCAATTCACTGATGTTCTTTTTTAAAGGAACATCACAAGATTTATTCTTATTCTTAGAAATGACGAAACATCGAGGCTAGACCCCTTACCGGCTGATAATCTTGCTAACACAGCCATGAGATATGCACAGAGACTTCGAGATGGCGTTGACCTGAAATTAAGAAAAACTGGGCACGCTGTCAGGTCACACATCTACTAACTTTCATTCCACTGTTATGCAATTGAATAATTCGGGTCCGTTCTTCCATTGATAACGGTCGACCAGGACAATACGGTCGCCCATAGAGATTTGTGCCTTTTTTCCTGTTCTTCCGACCATCTTGAGATGGATTGGGTCGCATGGTATTCGGAGAGGATGCCTTTGATCCGGAATCTTCGTTAGAAGATGAAGAATCACTTTGTTGGGATTCATAGGAGTTCGGAACTTCGATGCCCTAAAATTGCACTATTCTGTATTAAAGGAGGGGGGGGGGGGGGAAAGAATTTCAGAGATATTTTGGAATTACGGTATGCATGCATTCAGACGTAAAAGTGTACAATGCTTTCATGTATGCCAACGGGAATAGCTTCGCCCGCGTGGCTTAGTCGGATGCGGCGCCGAACCTTCAATATTCGGCCTACTAGCTCAACTCCTCTAGGGGCTTATATGAACCATATTTCGAAACAGTTATTTTCTTCCTGTCCCTCCACAATTAATGAGTCATGATGAGGTCAAAGGACTACTCTGAAACTAGTTTTTGCTCTTGACTGAAGCCATGAATCACATGACATCACTGTATATAGTTTTCAGCTATTCATGATAACTAAAACACAATGTTCAAGAACCCAGATTGCTTACGTGTGAAGCTAAAAATTGGAAACCGTAAAATGCAGAATTTTTCACTCGAAACCAGAGGTCGGTGGCCATATAGCAGTTTATTGGATACGGCGGTTTATGAAGGGTAACAGTACGATTTTAGAACAACTACACTGGTTTTTGATCTATGGAGATTTTGAAAGAGTTCAAAGATTTCGGAAGTTGTTGGTACGAAGGATTCTTATCATATCTTGTTAAATTCCTACTTGTCGACGGGCCTGCTCATAACTCGCTTCCGAATTGAAATTGTGGGCAGGAAAGCATACCAGATGATAGAGCTCGGCGAGCTCTACAACCTCCAATAAAAATTGACCGGCTTCGAAATAGGTATTGTGGTCCGGGCCAAACATTTTTGCCCGTGTCGGCTCTTAAATGTCGGATCACGCTCGGTTAGTTTTTAACGATGATTGATTCTTGTTGGAAGTTGTAGAGCTCTTGTTGGAAGATGTAGAGCATCATCTGGTATGATGTTTTGCCCACGTTTCAATCTTGAAGAGAGTTATCAGCCGGTCCGTGCCGGCCCGGAATCGGCCCGTTGAAAAGTATGATTGAATTCAAACATCATAAATTACGTAGATCTTTAGAATATGTCCCAAGAGTTACTTCAGAAATTAACACACCCAACGAGATTCTTATTTCTTTCAATGTCAGAATCTACAAATTTAAAGTCAAATATCATATATTCTAGCTCACAGCTTCTAAAAATCGATGTCAACACAATGCTATAGATTTTAGATCTCGTTGAGTATATAGTTAAAAACTCACATTCAACCAATTATTGAAATCTCTTTGTAAAGTGTGTGGAGTTGAAATATCAATGACAGAGGATCCGCATTGCTCATGATCACAACAGTGTACATCTAGCATTCTGAAAACTTATTGGATTCAGCTGGAACCAAAAAATAAGAGAATGAAAACGAAATGAAACTGAAATTCTCGAATGAAACATCGGGTGGGGGGTTCAAATGAGATGAAGAAGTAAAAGGAGGGGAATAGAGATTCATGTGTTCTGAACGAAGAACGACAAATCGAAAGTTGTTTTGATTTGAGAATAGAAGATGAAAGCGAAGGTATTAGTAGATATATTCTAGATGTATTTGTACATACACCTTCTGCTTCCTCCAAATGTTGCTTCTTGTTTTTCAGATCCCTTTGGTTCTGAATAAAAAAGGGAAAGCAACATCAACCCCCGACCGAACTGTAACTGGAATTCTGAAGATGTGGCAAAAAAGGGAAAATCTGAATATGAATATGGCATCAGAAAATAACAAAATCGAGAAACAGGAGAAGAAAAAGTTCACTAGTTTGACCTTTTGAAAGACTTTTGGAAAATGAAAACGGCCAAGTATGGGACACCTGAAAAGGAGACATCACCACACAAGAAAATCACTTGTGTGTGTTTCTTTTTCTTTTTCTCTGAAAAAAAAAATAGAAAAGAAGAAGAGGGCGATAAGAATTGAGAGTAATTGTAAAGTTCTTTTCCATTTTTTAGTGGTCGAAAGAGGGTATAATTGTCGGTAGGAGAAGAGAAAGAAAGTGAACGAACGGAGGGGTTGGAATTGCGCAACGGAATAGCTGATAGCTGGGAAAACGACGACGGCGAAGAACACCTTATTGCACGTGCTAGACTATTACGCAAAAGTCTATAAAATTGGAATGACCGTTTTTGAAAGTGTCTATATTGGGTTATTGTAGCTTTTGAAAAATCGTCTTGTGGGTCAATAACAAGGCAATGAAAGTCTCTAAACATGACATTTGAGTTTGGAATAGAACAAAGGAAGGATAATAAAAGTTGATTTGAATAGTATTTAATGATCAGGACAAGTTGAGCAAATAGACAAAGATTTCAAATGAAAGGTTTAAACTGAGTATGTAAGGGGATCCTATGGAAAACAGGAGACTATTGGGAGCTTTTGGTTCGACGAAGAAATCGGAAGAAATATGCACATTCTCTGATTTTAAGAGTTTCAGAAAAATTGATTTCTTTGTATTTCTCTTCCCAGTCGTTTAAATGGTACTTTTTTTACAGTACCGTAGTTTTCCGATCAGATATCTGATCTGTGGTTTACAATTATTTAAAGTTCAAATACTGTAGTTCAAAAATGCTCAATGTATCAGAACAAACTTGTGTGTTAGTCAATGGTCGGTATCCTGACGAATATCAATTAGAAGTTTGAACAGTGCTTCTGTTCAATGAAATAGTTAATGATAGTAAACATGAAATCAAAATTTCGAAGAAGAAACAATTTTTTATCTCGGAAGCCGGTAGTTGGAATTCGAAACACCTTTTTTCGAAAGTTGGAAGCCGGAAGCAGATTTTTTCAGAAATCAGAAGGCATAGTTTCGGATACCCCGACAAAGTTCCGACCTAGTAATGTTGCAAATTTCAAACTCCGACCAAAATCTCATTGGGCAAGTTTCAACCAGAATCTGTCCAGTCCGAAAGGCGAATTCCCCTCAACTTCTGGTCAAAAGTTACAAGCCGACAGCAGCGGAATTATTGAAGCTCAAGTTGGCCAAAAAACTGAAGTGATACTAGAACATTGTACAGTTTTACACAGTCATAAGGTTCTCGTCATGTTCTATGAAACTTGGGAACCAACGAATGTATCGAGTATGATGCAGAATGGGTGCATATATTTTCCTTCTTGTACACTTGAAAGTTCCAGACGATTCTCCGCGCAAGTGAGTCTCTGATAAGTGATAAAATTATCGTGCTGACGTCATCAAAGTAGTCTTTACTCTTCTAATTGTAAGGAAAACAATTGGACGAGAAGCGTGAGAATTGAGAAACGTTTCGTAGTTTCAGTAGTTATCGAATAGTCCTATAGACACCAGAAATCAACCTTCGAACTTCTTCCAGCCTTGTTATCTATTCCGAACTACAAACTACAATTGTCTTGATAAAAGTGGTTGATACTGATAAATGAGTTTTGGACTCACTCCAAGTTGTCTTTCTGATTGATTTTTCTTTTTGAATTGTCTAGATATAAATTATTCAAACTATGTAATATTGCATTTAATTATTCACATGAATCCACAATGTGTATAAAGCAACTCTTTAATTTTTTGTGGAAACAGTGTTTTCCATTTGTGAATTCTAGAATTAAATTTATTTTAGGAATGTATTTTACCTATTGAGTTTTCCAACTTTTTTTATTAGAATAAACTTCCGCACATACCGTTTTGACTAAAAATAATGACGATCAGGTCGTGTGACTTGTACAACAACACACATATCAATTGAAATAAACACCGCCTACATCTTCTCCATATTATTTTCATTTTGCTCCAATTATTATCAGAATTGATAACGAGACGAAAACTCACCGATTGACTGATACTTTCCCAATTTCGTGATTTTCAGAACCATGAAAAAAGCACTTTTGTTTTTGATACTACCCATTCTGGGAAATTGTCTCAACATCTTGTTCTATGTATCTGTTATTGCACAATCTCATATTCCGTTTCATAATACGGCCATCAAGATTTTATTGGATCGAGGACACACTGTGGTATAAAGCTTTGTTGCTCTTTCTTCTTCAAAACTATCATTTAGGACCTCGTGGTTGCTCATCTCAACGAAATGGTAAAAGTACATTTCCCTGCTGGAGTCCGTCAAAATTACACTTTTGGATATGAGGATCCCAATTTCTGGAGCAAAAATGCATTGCATTTATTCAACATTTTTGAGAAAAAGCCCATACCAATTGCGGAGTTTTTGGCATTTGATGATTTGACTTATCAACTTTGTGAAAGTGAGAATTCTAGTTTATATTTTGTTTTTAAAATAAACCATTCAGATGTTGTGAGGAATCCAAATTTGCTGGAGTATATCAAAAAAGGGAAATACGATATTGGCTTGAGTAGTGACTATGATCCATGTGCAAATACTATCATGCACGCGGGAGGTGTTCCAGTCAAAGCTAGTGAGTTCTAGGTAGACAATTTCTTCATGTTGCTCTTCATTTTGAGGCATGATACCAACTCCAATGTTCCAACCACAAATCTATAGTGCTGGTCTTCCAACCCTGGCTAGTCTTTATGGAAGTGAGTTGTTCCCGATCTCCATAAATTCAACTAATTATTTTCAGCCGTTCTGTATCCAAAATCTGACGAATCCTTCTTCAGTCGACTATTCCATCTTGTAAGACACACTTACAACATCTACTTTGTGACTCCTAAACTTATGAACAGATATGTAGGTTTCTCTACTTCTTATGAATTTTTATAATTTCTGGAATTCTCAGAATTCTTTACTCTCTAAAACATTTGGTCCAACGTTTCCGACAGTTGAAGAAATCGAGAGAAATGTGGATTTAGTTCTAGTGAATAGTAATGAAATCATTGAAAAACCTCGTCCGATTTCTCACAAAATCAAATATATTGGAGGGATGGGAAAGAAAAAGGCTCAACCGTTAAGTAAGGCAAGTTGTTGAAGTTCATAGTATGCTCAAATGTACACTAGAGCAAGTTTCAGGAATTCAACGGAATTCTGGACTCTGCGCCGAAAGGAGTGGTTCTATTCTCTTTTGGAACTCAAGTGCCCACGAAAAAAGTTCCAATCGAGGTTAGAAGAAATTGTGTAGCTGCTTTCAAAAAGTTCCCAGAGTTTCTGTTTCTTTGGAAGTATGATAATTTGACGGATGATGCGGAAATGTTCGAAAATGTTCAGAATATTCATAGAGTTGAGTGGTTGCCACAGACAGATTTGCTGGGTGAGTTTTTGGATTTTCTGATAGCTCTCAAAATCCAATTTAGGCGATCACCGCGTAAAAGCCTTCATCAGTCACATGGGTCTCAATTCTTACCTGGAACTAGCCGCAGCTGGGGTTCCAGTTCTTTCAATTCCACTATTCATTGATCAACATCATAATGCACTAAACGGTATGACTTATGCTTTCCCTGTTTTGAAATCGAACATCTTGTTTTGAATGTTTCAGCAGCCGCCCGAGAAATAGGAGTGACCGTAGAAAAGGATGAAGTGACTGTGGAAAATATGGTTGATGCTCTTCAAAAACTGTTATTTGATCCGAAATACGAAAGAAATGCAAAAATGATATCGAAGATGATGTTGGAAAAACCAGAACAGTCTGAGAAGCTGTTTGTGGATTGGGTGGAATATGCGGCAAGGAATCCGGGACTTCATAAAGTAAATTAGCAATGGGAGTACCAGAAATCTTTTTTGTTCCTATTTTTTCAGATACTCAACCTTCCAGGTGCAGAGCTCACTCCATTCTGGTACTATTCCGGTGATGTTCTAGTAGTTATTTTCATTATCTCAATGTTCTCAATTTTCATATTCTGGCGAATTTTAAATTTCTTGAGGTGCCGAATCTCGATTCGTTCCAAATCGAAATCTGAATAGTTCCTTTTTCTCCTCTCGTTGTTTTATCGGGTTTTCTGTTACAACTTTTTTGTTTTCAATAAATCGTTTAATCCCTCTCGATAGTGTCTACTCTGAATGACAGCTACAGGAAAACGGATTACTGTCAAACTTGGAGAAAAAATGAAATTTTGCTTTTTGTGTATTTTGATGACGATATCAGCTACATTTGGACAAGAAGATGAGCAGGTGACTATTTGAACTTTGTTTCTAATTTTTTGAATCATTTCAGAGTGGAATGACAGCTTTTGAATCAATTCGAAGATTGAAGGAGTGTATTGATTTGATTGATGTAAGTATTTAGTATTATTCTGGTACAAAAAATGGGAGCCGTAGAAGCTACCGTCCAAAAATATTTTCATTTTCCGGATTTCTTATCTCGATTTTCGTGGGTTTTCGGTCAAATGTCAAAGTTTTTTTTTTGAATTTTAGGGAGAAAAATAACAGAAAACTCGAGGAAAAGGAGTGAAAAACGAGAAAATATTAACCAAAAATATAAATATTTTATGTTACGGTATTTGTCGTTGTGGGACTTTTGGCAACGGCCACCGGCGTTTCTGGTCCACGACTTCGATTTTTCGTACCAGAATAATAAAGATGACTTTGAGTATTTCAGAAGCCGGAGTTCAAGAAAATGTGTGAAGGAAAATTAGGAAAAGAAAAGGATGAATGTGTGGAAAAGTTTACAAAGGTAGGTGGAGAATGCAGGCTCTGAAAAGCAAAAATGCTGTAAATTTCTGTAAATTTTCAAGATAAAATAAACAGATTTGGTGTTTTTCTATATTTTACCAATTTCTTAACTTTAACAACCTGAAAAAAATTTGATTACCGTCCAACATGTAATAGAAAGGGTCCTCATGCTGTCAAGTTTGAGCTAACTTATCTCAATTACTATTCAAGATATCAAAAGTGTGTCAAACGTTTGTGATAATACGCCAAACAATTCATCTGTTGGCAACTTTTTCATATCTTTGATAGGAATCGAGATATATTTGCTCAAAGTTAAAAGTTAAATAGGGGCCATTCTATTACCGGTTTTACGGTACCTCGAATTTCGAACTTGTTTTCGAGTTTTTTTCTCCCGTTTCCTGTTAATTAAAAATTTCAGAAAATGATGCCCAAACTGAATGCGTGCATCGAGCGAAGCCGTCGACCCCGGACGATTCCTCTTCCCCACACAGAAGAATTATAGGGATTTGTGTCGCCCCCGCACATTCTTTTTTTTTCCTCATCATCATCACCATCAATAACATCGAGTTTTTATATTTTCAACCCATTCTATTTTTTTGTCTTCTTTCTATATGAAAACAAGTATATTCTTTTGCAATCTCGGCATTTTCTTCTTGTTGATTGAAAATGTCTTTGGAGCGGCGGGAGGAGGATATGTGAGGAATTCTTTTCAATGAAGAAAACACTGTCTTTTTGCAGCATGAACCCAGCATCGAGACAATTGAAAAATGCCACAATCAAGTGAAAGTATAGAGAAATTGAATAGAGAGCATTTTCAGATTCTTGAAATTTTTATAGGAGAAAGAGAAATGCACATGCCACAAGAAGGATCCATTCTGTAACCGAAGTTTCGCAATGGTAAGGAATATCGGAGAGTCTTCATTTGAATAATTTCTTTCAGAGTCACTGGAACAGTATCTTCAAATGCATTTCGGCAGTTCAGAAAACGATGAAAAACGTTGATGTGGAGAAGAAAAAAGATGAAAAAGAGGAGGAGAAAGAAGAAGAGGAAGAAGAATGAACGTTTTGTGGGATGCCCGCCCAGTCGTTTTCCAATTCTCAATGTTCAAATGTGTTTTTTTCGTTTTATTTTTGCGGTGTTTGCAACTTTGTCTCGTTTGATAAGAAAAGGTGGCACGATTCATCGTGTCACTTTTTGTCACTTGCTTCATGGCATGTTCGGGATCATGGCGTGAATTCGGTGAATGAACTGTGTACAGGGAGATTCTTTCAGAGTTCCCTGGTCTCCAAACCTTCTATTTCATTGTAATTTTCTGCTGAAAATCTGACATTTATTATTTATTCCGACCCAATTGATAAGATCTTGTTCTTGATCCAGAAGTTTCCTGTGCGTCAAGATTCCTATCTCTTCTAACCCTTTAGTTTTTGTACTTTCTCCATAAAGACTACCCGTGTTGTCTACATCGTCTATTGCATAAGAAACCTCGCACTTTGTACTTTTAAAAAATAAAACCAGTTCGTTCACCTAATTATCCGTAATGTTCAGATTTTTTGGTATTTTCTGCTAAAAATTGCAACAACTGTATTAAAGGCGCATAAACGAAAACCTTCTTTTAGTACTAAAACGCTTGTTTGACTTCAAATTGCTGATAATTCTATTCTTCGTTCGTTTTTTTTCCCGAATTTTATCAAATTTCTTCATTTAAAATTATCTTGAATTGTCATTCAATTTTGTCTATGGGGTTATTCACCAAAATGTAGAAAATTCCGGAGAAATGGAGAAAATTTCGCAAAACCGCGGAGAATGAACCAATCTCGCTGAATTTTCGGAGAAAATTATAGAGAGCATATTCCCAAAATTTGGGGTCAAAATATCCACTTTGACCATTTTGTCTGAAATTCCAGCCAAAATTTCAAAATTAATTTTGCGACCCCAAATTTTGTGAATATTCTCTCTGTAATTTTCTCCGATTTGCTCCGAAATTTCAGCTAGATTGGTTCATTCTTCGCGGTTTCGCGGAATTTTCTCCATTTCTCTGAATTTTTCTACATGTTGGTGAAAAACCCCACTAGCCTTTTTCTGTCGATTCTCACTACGATCTTAAAGGCGCACACCCCATTTTTTTCTTTGATTCCTGAGACGACCGAGAAATCCGGTGGCCGCCGCGCCGTGTATTTCTCGAGGAGTTCTATTATTTTTCAAAAAGAGTTGTTTTTTTGCTGTTTTTTGACTGAAAAACAACAAAATTCTTTATTTTTTTCTGTATTATGACATATTTACTAAAAACTATAAACATAATTTTCCATCCTAGTCCTTTGGCAGGCAAATAAATCAACCATTAATTCGATTTCTCTTCTTTTTAACACTTGCAACTAATTTCCAACCCACTCAAATGTATGTCCCAAGTCTATACCCATTTCTAATACAATTGTCATCGTTTCAATAAAAAAAGGCTGACAAAAGCAAAGAAATCACCTTTTTTCTCTTCCTAAAACATGTTTGCCTCTCAGCCTAGAAGTAACACGAGTACGGAAAAAAAAGTAATTCAATGCCAGAGTCCCCTTCAAAGACCACATTCTCATTGATTTTTGACGTTTGTATCCAGAAGTTTTCTTTGGGTCAAGGTACATTTCCTATCTATTCCGACCCAATTGATAAGATCTTGGTCTTGACCCGCCATCAGTTTCCTTGGGTCAAGATTACCATCATTAGATCTTGTGCTTTCTCCTAAAAACCACAAGTGCTGTCTACATCGTCTCTTGCATAAAAACCCCCTTGCACTTTATACCGTTTTTTCTTTGATGAAACCAGTTCGTGTTCACCTAATTATCCGTAATATGAATATTTATATAACGACCTATAAAAAAAACGCTCCTGCAATATATAAATAAGTCGGCGACAGAAGAGGAGGAGGAGAGAGTAGGCCACAAAATGAAAATGATGACATTGATTTGTTTGTCCGAAAATGAAAAAAAACGAGACGGAGGTCTCTTTTCGGGAAAGGCGCTCCGTCTTTTCTCACCTTTTTGTTTTATGTCGTCTGGCAGCTTCAGTGTTTTTCTTTTAACAAAATGCGGTTAACAGCTTTAAAAATTGCTAAATCTAATTTTCTCCTCTGATTTCACCAACTTTCGAACCTCTCTTCGGCTCTTTTTGTTTACTTTTTCCCCAATACCTACCCACGCACGTTAGTTCTTCCAGAAAAATGGCCGAGGCTGACATCGCTGTGATCGGATTGGCCGTCATGGGCCAGAATCTGATTCTGAACATGAATGATCACGGATTCACCGTGTGCGCCTTCAACAGAACCACTAAGTTGGTCGACGACTTCCTTGCCAACGAGGCGAAGGGTACCAAAATCATCGGAGCCCATTCGATCGAGGAGATGTGCAAGAAGTTGAAGAGACCACGTCGTGTTATGATGCTCATCAAGGCCGGCGACGCAGTCGATAGTATGATCAATCAGATTCTACCATTCCTTGAGAAAGGCGACATTATCATTGATGGAGGAAATTCCGATTATAATCACTCGAACGTAAAAGCTTTGCTTTCCTGCTTTAAATTAAATCGAGTATTTTGCAGAGACGCTATCAAGAGCTCAAAGAAAAAGGAATTAGTTTTGTTGGATGCGGAGTTTCCGGAGGAGAAGAAGGAGCTCGTTTCGGACCATCGTTGATGCCAGGAGGCGACCCAGAAGCCTGGCCACACATCAAGGATATCTTCCAGAAAATCGCTGCTAAATCGAACGGAGAGCCATGCTGTGATTGGGTCGGAAACGGCGGATCTGGACATTTCGTGAAGATGGTCCACAACGGAATTGAGTATGGAGATATGCAGCTGATTGCGGAGGCCTTCAATCTATTGAGCGAGGCTGTCGAGCTCAATTACGATCAAATGGCTGAAGTGATGGATGACTGGAACAAGGGAGAACTCGAGTCATTCCTGATTGAAATCACCGCCAATATTTTGAAGTATCGTGATGAGAAGGGAGAGCCAGTTGTGCCGAAGATTCGGGATTCTGCTGGACAAAAAGGAACCGGAAAGTGGACATGTATCGCTGCGTTGGAATATGGACTTCCAGTTACTCTTATTGGTAAGGAGCTCTTTAAAATTTCAAAATATATCAAATTTTTTCTCCAGGAGAAGCCGTGTTCGCCAGATGTCTTTCTGCTCTCAAAGAAGAGCGTGTTTATGCTTCGGAGCATCTCTCAGGTCCCCATGTTGCCCCGGAAACTGTCATTCAGGACAAGAGAGTGTTCATCAAGCAGATCAGCAAGGCTCTGTACGCTTCCAAAATCGTCAGCTACGCTCAAGGATTCATGCTCCTTGCCGAGACTTCCAAGCAATTCAACTGGGATTTGAATTTCGGAGCCATCGCCTTGATGTGGAGAGGAGGATGCATCATTCGATCGAGGTAAGACATATAGGTATAAGATATAAAAAATGAAGCCCGAACCTTCCAGATTCCTCGGAGACATCAAACGGGCATTCGATAACAACAAGGACCTTCCAAACCTTCTTCTTGATGCTTTCTTCACCAAGGCCATTTCTGAAGCGAATGTAGGAATTTGCTATGAATTTGAAAGATTTCACTAAAAACAAAAAGAAGTTGTAGCAAACAAAAAAATTGCATTCCAACAAGAGAAAATTATGATTCTTTGAGGCCACAAATCACATTTGTAATCTCAAATTTCCAGGATTCGTGGCGCGTCGTGGTCGGTGCCGCCATTCGTCTAGAAATCCCTGTTCCAGCCTTCTCGTCGGCTTTAGCATTCTACGATGGGTACAAGAGAAAGGTAGCGATTTTATATAGCATACGAGTATCTAAACTCTATCCTTGTTTTCCAGGTCCTCCCAGCCAACCTGCTTCAGGCTCTAAGAGACTACTTCGGAGCCCACACCTACGAGCTTTTAGATCAACCAGGCACTTGGGTCCATACCAACTGGACTGGAAAAGGAGGACGTGTCACCTCAAACACCTACAATGCATAAGCAGAAGAACCTATTATATTTTTATCAATGCGTTATGTTAACGTCTTCTTCGTAAAAACTCGATTGCTGTTATTAATCCCTGAATTCTTTTCCTTTTTAGTACTTTTTCAGATTTTTCTTTGCCTCTGTGATTGATTAGTTTTTTAATCGTTTTATTCCCACCATAAACATCACCACTTCCCTAGTTTTGCAGTATTCGTGTGAAATAATAAAGTGTTCTATTGTTTGTCTTCTTTCTATCTAAATAGTTATCACTTGAACTGCTCTGATGGCTTCATGAGCATCACAACCGAAAATTTTGATATTAGGAGTTTCCGGAGGAGAGGAAAGAAAACAAATATTCATTGGGTTGTTTGAAACACTGGGCAATAGACAAATGACGATAGATTGATTATCAAGTAAACACCAAGAACACTTTTAGTTGGTGCTAGTGCCATTTTCCAGGGATTTTTGAGAGCGGTATCGTTCTGGCACTGGTTTATTGATTACTTTCAGCCAGAACGTCGCGAAGACCGCTTTGTGATCAGAAGGCGTTGTTCCTCGCATACAGTCGTATTTGATCGGTTCGAGATATTCTGGGCATCGCATCCAGAAGAGCACGCGATCCTAGAAAATGATCATTATGTATTATTCTGGTACAAAAGATCGGAGATGTGTCCCACAACGACAATTACCGTAAGCTGAAAATATTTGATGATTTAAGAATTTAATTTCTCGATTTTCGGGCGTTTTCAGTCAATTTTTTTTTAAATTTCGGACTTGTTTGAGGAAAAAAAACCGAAAAATCGATGCAAGTCCATGAAAACGAGATAATAAATCTAGAGAATAAACATATTTCTAGGTTACGGTAATTGTCGTTGTAAGACCTCTTGCCACGGCTGCCGGTTTTTATTCCACAGCTCCGACCGGAAATCAAAAACTCACTGTGAATGATGGAATTTTTTTCGGCACATATGAATCCGTTTCCGGTTCGTACTTATGAGTTGGCGGGAATCTGAGTGGAGGTTCAGCAAAATCGGCGAACGCGACTTGCTTCATTTTATGACTTGCCAACTCTTCGCTCTCCAAAACCTCATTGAATACGGTATCTGTCAACTTGTCAGGTTTACTCCAATCCACCGTATTCTCAACTGTCACTCGGAAATTCAAGTCTCCAGTCCATATAACTGCCTGGAAAAAGGAAAAAAGGAAGGGCTCAACTACCGGAAAAGGCTCTTACGTCAGAGGCGAAAATCTCGTCGTTTGCATGCGCATGAAACTTGGCGAGCTGAGGGAAACGGAGAGTGCGCACCACTTTCGCGTAGTCCTGGATACGGAGCTGTGGTGTGGCGTCTAAAAAGAAACATGGGAATTTGAAGATTTTAGCAAAGACACTTACGGGACAAATGACATCCGATGAGTACTATGAATCGTTGATACAAACGGAGACAAATCGCAATTGCTCCTTTTGTTCTGACGGGTTTTGCCATTGCTCCAGAAGCGATGAAAGACACTTGTGGCTCTGAAAACGGTAGATTTTGTTATTTATTTTGAATAATAGCTCACGAATTGCATAACCGATATGTTTGTGTCGAATGAAAACGATAACCATTTGACTCCAGGCACGGTGAGAGAGATACATGCGATGTCCACTAAAAAGTGGCTCCAGAATCCGACGGGCTTCTTCGTGGAACGTTCTGAAATATATATGATCTGTCATAGATTCCGTTCCATGAAACTCACGGAGCTGTGGATGGGATTTCTTGAAGAGAAATGAACACCAAGTCGCTCTCCATTTCTTCACCTCGATCCACAATTTTCTGTGCAAGATGGTTGAGCACTTTGGCACCCTTCTCGTTGATATTCCACGTCACCGCACACACCTTCAGTTTTCGATCTCCCATGGTTTCAACGACATCGTAGCTGACAATCGGAACATTTCCGAATCCCTTTACAGCTGCTCTGGAAAGAGGTGTAATGCCAAAAGTGCTCTAATAGAAGCCGACGCTGTATGTGAATTTTGAACACAATTATCTGGGTCCTTTCAAGAGATATCATAAAGTTGTCAACTGATAAAACACTTTTGATATCATGATGAACAATTTATCAGTTGACATCTTTTTGATATCTTCGACAGTAATTGAGATAAATTGACTTAAAGTTTAAAGTTCTGTGTCTCTCCTAATAAAGGCCAACCCTATACGTGCACTTTGAGCTCAATTATCTAGGTTCCTACAAAAGATATAAAAAATTTGTCAATTGATAAAATACTGGTCATATCATGGTAAACACATTGCTAGTTGACAAATTTTTCATATCTTTTGAATGAACCGAGATAATTGAGCTCAAAGTGCACGTAAAGGATATGCTTCTATCAAATAATTCAGGTCAGAAAAATATACAATGTAACACTTACGGAGGGGGTTGAGTGTCAATGAGGAATGTCCAATTGCCGTCGCTGATTTCGTTGACTGCAAAAAATGGGGTAGTAGAAGAACTATAGGATTAGGAGGGATTAGATGAGCTTACATGAGCCATTACGTAACTCGGCAGGTTGAGAAGAGGAGCGGTTCCATGCTGGATGACGGGTTGTTTGCTTTTGTGACGAAGTCTCCTGTGTGGATTCAGTGGAAGCCTGTGGACGGACTGGAGTATTGGACGATGAGTTAGATGATGTGGAAGAGACCGATGGCGAGTTGGCATCTGAAATAATTTTGGTTGCTACTCGAAGTGAACATTGTGATTTTTTCCCTAAATTTCTCACCCATTTTTGATGGCGTTCATAGAATAGGAAAGGTTTATTGGAGACGCCTTGTTATTTTTTTTCTTTCGAGACAGGGGGAAAATTGAACAGAAACAACGAGGCTGTAGCGCCCAGCGACGAAGGCCGGCGCTCGTTCTCGTCACGGAGAAGAGAGATTGGGAGGGCTTTGAGAAAAAGTGGAAGGGATGGAAGTGTTGTAGATAAAGCAAAAAAGAATGGTGAAGTAATTAAAAGGAACAGTCCCGTTGGCTAGTAGATGCCACACACTTTTCGTGTTGTTTGAGTGCTATATAATGTTATATGTAGATTTTGAATGTGCACATGGAAAAGGGAGAAGTACATAGAAGAGAGAGGGAACCAGACGCAGGAAGTTAGGGAAACTAAAGAGAAGGAAAAAGGTGAAAGGGAGTGTATGTATTCTGAATTCATCATTTCTAAAGTTGTGTGTTTGTTGGTTATTTGTTGCTAAGGCAGACGTCTCCAGTTTCTCTCTCTTTGTATTTTGTTGAAATCAGAAGGATCAAAAAATAAGACTCACCATAAAATGAGTGTGTAGTTTTCCAAGGAAAGACACGGAACATTTTGTATCACTAGAAGTATAGTGGAGCTTCAAAATTTGGAGTCGGAATTGAATGTCAGAAAGGTCTAGCCCTCTCTCCCTAGAGCGGTGGGAGACGAAAAAGGCTGAATCAAATCAAAAAGAATAAAAGTGGGGCCAGAGCAACAAAGTCATGAGATACCTATAGATATGCATAGGCGCAAACATGCATGATTGAATATTCGAAAAAGAGAAGAGAAATGGGCTAATTGAAAAGAGCGCGATGATGCATTTTGGAAGAGTTTCGGGGGGAAGGAGAAGAAGCCGTTAGTGAGCATTTTAGAATAGATGGCGATGTTGGGGATGACGCGTAGCTATGAGCGTAGCTATGTAGTTATTTTGCGATGACGCGGAGCTGTACAAGACGCTACAGTGTTTGATAATGGATGTAGATTGTTAAAATCGGAACTACAAATTTGGATTTAATCAACAATGAATAATTTGGTGTGTCAGGTCTGGAGACAAATTTATCATTTTCAATAGAAATTTGTGAATATTCAAGATGATTATTCAAGATGAAACAAGTTTTTGGAAATCAAATTAGTGATCCTAGAATCCTGTATGTTCCATCATTCAACAAATCTTGAAAAAATAAGGAATTTTTTTTTAACTTTTTCTTTATTTTTAAGTCAATCTACATGCATTTCAATCTACATGCAATGCATTTAAAAATAAATTAATGATTCTATAATCCTGCCTGGCTTTTTATTTTTTGGCAAATCTTCAAAATACCGTAAGACCTGTTTTAGAAAGGTCCCTTTAATAGAAGAGATCCTCTAATAGAAGGGCCCTCCAAGAGGTGTTTGGAAAATAGAAGGGTCACCTTCGGAATGAGTGGTTTGAACTTAAAAATTTCCGTACGATTTCAGGAAAAAATAATCCGGAAATTTCACAATTTCACAGAAATTTGTTGAAACACTTTTTTGCTCAAAAACATGCTCAGTTTTGGTAAAATTGACAGATTTAAATGCATTTTGAAAGAGAATTCACCGATTTTTAATGACCATTTTTGGAAAAATAGACTCACCGGGCGGCCTAGAAAAAACCTCGTTCCTAAGGGCTTTCATCGTATTTTTCGATGCGTTTTTCTCGATGAAGGAATTTTTTGAATGTTTTCTTTATTTTTTATGTCAATCTACATGCATTTCTGCACATTTTGATGCAATGAAAAATTTCACCGTACACCACCTTTAATTAATTTCATTCTAGATTCTAGAGTATCTACAAGATTAGATTCTCAAAATGCTGAAATTATGCTCCAGACCTGCCACGTCAAATCTTTTTTTATGGCAGAACAAATTTGAATTTGCAGTTCGAATTTCTACTGTGGGTGATTACTCACCAAATGTATAACTTCTGAAGAACAAACGACGCATCATTGGAGTATTCATCTTGCCTCTCGAGCCTCAAACCTTGGTATCAGAAGAATTCCAAACGCTTGCCAAACGTTTATCGCTTCAAAGACAAAGCGAAACGAAGGGTGCTTTTATTGTTTTGGCGAATCCCGAGAGAAAGAAGAAGAAGAAGACATCTGGAGAAGAAAAATGTTGGGCTCTTCGTAGAAACGGAGAATCAAAGGGTAGCTGGATGTCAAAATGAGATGCGAATAGCAGCACACGGAAACCTTTATAGAAAGAAAAAAGAGAATGACAAGAGGAAGCATTTACCGGATTAGGATGGAATTGTCATGGGTTGTTTGAGGAATAGAAAGACATTTATGGGGGTTTTAATCTCTGTCACGATGACGAGAATTGTCTGACAAACTCAAATTTTTACAAAAAAAGAGAACCAGTCGATTGGAAATTTCAAAATAAGGAGTGAAGAAACTCACTACTACTCTTCTAGCAGACGATGGCGTCTACTTTGAGAGACTAGCTTGCTAATTTTAGTAGACAGAGAGAGCCAATTCCCTCGCCTCTTCGCTTTTTTCTTCTTTTTTTCGCCTTCCCACCGCTGATACGCATTTTGATTAGAAGAAGAAAAAAGCGGAAATTGGAAACGATGAAGAGCCTTCACAGACGTTTGATTGTTTTTTTTTTCTCTTTGGGCATAATTAGAAAATAAAATGAATAACGACTATATAGCAACTTCCTGATAGTCTGTGCGGGGGATTTTATATAGACAACATCTACGAAAATTATAGTCTTTGACTAGGAAATTGTATGCGTACCCCGGAAGATCGAGAAGAAAATGAAATATCCTTGCAAGGAAATTTTATCTATAAAAAAGGCGGAATGGCATCATGTTGTGTTAATCCTGGTGGGTGGAAACAAAATCTGGAATTTATCTGTTTGCAAATTCAGGGAAAACTCGTAATCAGTAATAAAAATTGCAATTTTATCTTCAGAAGCTCGTTATGGACAATCGTTGCTGCTAGAAGAAGATCTAGAAGCACGGCCACACCTCAAGGATATCTTCCAGATTGTTCATCAAGCAAATCAGCGAGTCTTTGGAATCTTACAAGATAGCCAGCTACGCTCAAGGAAAATTCCAATTTGCAATTGGGATTTGAACTTTGGTGCCATTGCGTAGATATGGAGAGGAGGATGCATCATTCGCTTGAGATAAATTTCGAAATAAAGCTATTAGATTTAGAAATAAAGCTATTAGATTTTCAAAACGAGCCTTCCAGGATTTGATAACAACAAATAGCTTTCCAGCCTCTCATCAATGACTTCTTCAACAAGGCCACATCTGAAGTGGAAGTAGGGATTTTTTATCAATTTGATATAAGTTTGGTACTAGAAAACTGTTATAGTAAACGAAAAAGGTTTTCTTTCAAAATATGATGTCTTAACCAACGAATCACATTTTTCTGATCTCAAATTCACGTTTCTAATCTAAAATTTCCAGGATCCGTGAAGCGTCGTAGTTAATTCCGCCTTCTTTCTGGATATCTCTGTTCCAGCCTTCTCTTCGACTTTGGCATTCTAAGATCAGTACGCCAGTGAGACATTCATTTTCAGTATCAGTCGCACTTTCCATAACATAACACACCAATAGAATATTCAACCTGAAAACACGTGAATTTCACAAACGGATTCGTTCTGTGATCCACTAGCCGCCTATAATGTTTTGAATCTACACACGTGCACTCACTTTTTCAGTTTGACGAATTTGACCGACATTGGGCCGGCAGCCAACCGTCTCAAGACCCCGTATAACGAAACAGTGAAATTCTATGAATAGAAAAAATGTAATCCTAATAGAACGGCCTTGTTGGAAAGAATTTCAATTAATTTCCAGACTAAACCATTAGATATACTTTCAAGCGAGCTTTTGAATCAACCAGACCCTTGGCTCCATAACAACTGCGCTAGAGAAGGGGATATATCACCTCAAACACCTACGAAATCCTATATATTTTTATCCATACGTTATGTTAACGTCTTTTTCATAAAAAACTCGATTACTCGATTACTATTGTAAATCCCTGAGTGGTCTTTTTTCAGCACTTCCAGCACATCACTTTTTCAGTTTTTCAGTCTTTATGATTGATTAGTGTTTTTATCATTCTGTTCCCACCACCGCCATACTTCCTTCTTAGTTTTTGAAGTGTTCGTGTGAAATAATAAATAGTGTTTTATGGTTTGTTTTGTTTTTATCAAGGAAGAAAGGTTATCACTTGGACTGCTCTTCTGATGGCTTGATGAGCACAACTTGTTACGCAATCAAAAACAGTTGAATTATCATAATGACGCAGTGAAGAGTGTGGACTTTGGAGCGATAAAGAGCGATGGCCTAGAAAAAATGAAGTGAAAAAGTTAGGCCAAAAAATTCACACGATTCTGAATCTGCTGGAAGTTCAATGAACACACTCTAATCTTTGTAGACTACGGTATTTATCTGCCAGTGATATCAGATGTTTTGTTTTGTCCATCCGGTATGAGTCAACAAAAAAAACCCAAAATATCAGGGGACCTCAAGAAAACAGACATCCGATTGTTTGAGAGAGAAATGACGAGATATTTGGGACGATTAGTCAAAGAAGAAGAAGAAAAATATTTATTTACGATGTTCCGCATCTGATAAATTTGAAAAAAAAATCAAAATTTCAATCGAAAAAACCGGTTGAAAGATTTTGAACCGGACACGTTGGGTCTCTAAATGTTGTAGAATTGAAATAAATACACCGTTTCTCAGAAGCTACAGTAATCCTTTCAGACACTACATTAGACCACTCTGTATTGAAACTACAGTACTTTCGAAGTTCAATAGTTTCCGTTTGAATTCATGCATTTGGGTTTCCGTTTTCTTTTCAATTCATTCGAAAACAAAATTTCAATTCTTATCGTTTCAATAATTTTTTCAATTTTGATATGTCAAAATTCGTATAGTTTCAGAATCTCTATTTTTTTCAGCTGAAAATAAACAGAAGTTTTAAATTTTAAAACTTCATTTTATCAAAAAAAAAGAGAAGAGAGAACAAACAAATGTCACCCGTTTTCAACAATTATGCCATTCAAAAAGTGAATGGGATAGTCAAAAAATTGCAAATTGCACACACAAAAAGAAGTCATTTCATCTCAAAAAGAGACGGGGTCGGGGGAGGAAAGCAGCGAAAAATGGGTAAATTTTAGGCAAAATGAGTTCTGAAATTAGAACTGTCAATGAGATTTGAACAGGTTGTAAAGCGGAATGAGATTTCAGAGGGAGAAGAAGAAGAGAAACATTTGAAGTCTAATCGGAGAGATCTGGAGAGCTGATGGTTCTTCGAAGAGCAGTCTCTCGGGCTTCTTGAGCTGCTCTCAACGAATTTCTCATTTTCCTCTCGAAATCAGCATCCTTGACGCCTTCAATGACTGGAGACACTTTTGGAGCCTCCACCACTGACGTCTTCTTACTTCCTTCTGGAGTCTCGACGGTTTTCTCGCTAGATGAATCGTCATCTCCGATCTTGTGGGTATAGGCGAACTGATCCTTCGTTGGTAGATTGTAGATGACATTCTCAAGCTCTTCGGCAACGGTAGAGACGTTCATCTTGATTTTTTGAGACCATCTCTGGGCGCGGTTCATCTTCTTTTCATCACACTCTCCAAGCTCAGCGACAATTTCTGAAAAAGAAAACAAGTTTAGTTGAGTTGTTTTTTGGCGGCTGTTATTAGTTGTGTCTTTTCAGCCTTTTCAGATTAGGGTGAATAGCTAAAAGGCGCTTCCCTTCCTGTTTCTGACCACAACATAACAACGATTTCTGATCATTATTTACCTTTGGTCTCTTCAACCTTGACTCCACGAATCCACAACCAGAGTCTGACGATTGGAGCACGTTGTCCTGGCTTTCTTGGGAGAACGACGAAGAGAAGAAGTTGAATGAAAGCGAGAAGAGATCCAACTCCATTAGGGAAGATCAGGTAGAAGTCGTTCTTGAGAAGTCCGTAAAGGAACCATTCAGAAGAAACCAAGAAGTTGGCAATGCACAATGGGAGTGGAAGAGTGGAAGTGGCCCAACGACGGATCACAACTCGGATTCCTCCAAGAGGAGCGGCAAAGTCAGCAATGTTGAGAGTGAGACAAACGATTCCGAGAGGATGGAAGATCTTCATTCCGAAGAAGTGAACTCCCAATACCAAAGATGTACAGATTCCAATGACTCCAAGAACCTTGAGGGTGATCCACAGCTTCTTCTTGGTCATGCACCAGTAGAAGATGGTATAAGTGGTGTAGAGAATCACTTGACATCCCGTGACCCATTTAACAGTTCCATCATTCTTCAACCATCCGTAAGTCATCCAACAGCATCCACCAACCACTCCCATGAGGAATGGAGCACCGGAGATTTCCTTGGTATCTTTTCTTTTCCAGATTTGTCGGCATATTGGACTGAAGTATGAAGGGTAAAGGTATGAAATAACGGTAAGAATAACAAACTTACATTCCACAGAAGAAGAGTCCAACTGTAGTGAAGAAAGCAAGAATAGAGAGAAGATTCAAGAAGGAGAATCCTTGAGTGAAAATCTCGAACATTTTGTTCTGAGAGTCTTTTGTGCTAAGAAGGCACTCGTTTAATGAAGGCAAAGATGAGACACTGGCCCCTTCCGACCGACTCTCATTCACTTTTGTATCATGTCGCTTCTTGGCTCCGCCCACAGAGACAGACCGTTGCCTTCGGCGGAGAAGAGAAGAAATGGGCGGGGTGTGTGTTCCGAGGGGGCCTTCCTCTCTAATTGATTCCCATTTTTAGAGTTTCACTGAGATCTCTGAGCCTTTTGGTGAGCTCTTGACATATCATATATGAGTCATCCGATTAGAGGTAATTATTCTAGAAGGACAATAATAACTAGTCAGCCAACAGCTCAAATCGTAATGGTCATTTAGTTGGTTAATTGGGTATATTGAAAAGTTGTATATTTTTCTGATAAATCAACTTTATTCGTTGCTGAAAAATATCGGAAAACAAGAAAACTTGAACTGTTCTGAAGCTTCTCGAGAAGTTAATAGGAAATCAGGTTTTGGAAGTTCAAAAAATTCCATATGCCTGAAATTTTTTCAAAACTCCTGATCTGATCTAGGCATTCTCAAAAATACCGAAAATGCACAAACTCCCCAATAGTTGTACTGTACCTATCGTACTCCTAATTTGGTCATCAATCATTTTCAGTTCATCATGTTACCAGACGAACAGCTATTTCTAGAATCAAGTGTACTCTGACATATATAAATTACGTGTAAACAATAGGAGAAAAACTGTGGAAATGTATTGGCGATGAAATCATTCGTATGTGATGATCACAAACGTCGTTTAGAAGCATCGATATACGAATCCAATCTATACATTGGCGGCCATCATGATTTATAACCACTCTCCTAAAGGGAAATGTTGTTACCAGTTCAAACATCCTAGTCGATATTATATGGAAACATTCGACGGATATCAGGAAAATTTAAAGCTTTGTCAGACATTATTTCATCAAACACACTTTCCAAGACCATCTGAAAACCGTCAGTTACCGTATTTGCTCTAAAAGAAGCCCACGTTGAGCTCAATTATCTCGGTTCCTATAAGAGATATAAAAAATATGTAAACTGATAAAATGTTAACGAAATCATGAAAAACAATTTATTAGTGGATTACTTTTGCTATCTTCTGAGGGAATCGAGATAATTAAGCTCCAAGTTTGAGTATTGCTTAAGCTTCTTTTAGGGGAAATACGGTATGTAGTATGAGTATCTAGTACTAGTTGTTTGTCGATGCTCCGTTCAATGTAATCATTGATAAGCGTTACGTCAGAATGAACAAATGCCCTTTTTTGTGTAAACGGCGAGAAGACACAACGCCAAACGCTTTTTGAGGAAAGGGACGAATCCTGCGCAGTCAACGTCATCTGAATTCTGAAGCGAAAGGAGAGACTGCACGTGGACGATCCATGTGAAGATGAAAGTACTTATCATGTGTGTGTGTGTTGTGTTTGATTTGATAGAAAAGAGAAGACGATGGCGCGGCGGTGGAGTAGAGGATTTGTAATTTATGACACCTTCTTGTTAGAATCTGGTACGGAAGTTTATTGAGTACGCGTTGTTTCTGTGGCCAAGGTTCATTTGGGAAGTAGATAGAGACAGATCAAGGACTGGGGTACACATGGAGAGAACTTAACGAACTGTGGAGTAGTATTTGGAGTTCTTTAATGAAATCGTCATTCCCTCATTGGAAGTGTTCGTGGGTGTCCGGTAATAGTAATGATCCTAAGTTAGACAAAATGATAAGGGAAAAATAAATTTTGTCAGTATGAAACATGGAAAATGTAGATTTTGAGTACTAAAGCGACCGATGGCCGAGCTTTACCGAATTGGTGCGTTTGCGCGTCATCGTACCAGAGAGCGTTTGCGCATGTAGTTCACAAAATTAAAAAATCCGTTGTGCGCCGTAAAATATAATGCTGCGTACGCAGACACTCTCCGGCTCTGAAATTATGACGCGCAAATGCACGAATTCGCTCCACTCGGTCGGCTGGGTCAACGGTCGGTTGGTCTGCTAAATTTTCCTACAGGTTGGAAGCCTTATTAAGAATACTTGAGGACTTGAACGAGAATTTCAAGTTCCGTTTCATCAATTTTTGATCAATATCTGAAAAATTAACCGTCGTTCAAAAGATTAGATTGATGTTCCAAAATAGAACTCAAGCATTGATTCTATCTTATCAGAACTCTGATGCTCCCAACTCTTCCATTTTCCAGCTTGGGTACTTTTCCTATACTGTAGTTCAGTCTTTTCTCTGTAGTCCAGAAGACATCATTTTCATCTCGTATAAATGTAAATAAATCAATCTGTGACCCGTTGACAAATATTTTTCTGATGCTTGTAGTGGTCGTATAACTGGGATACTAGGTTATCAAAAGACTTCTTCAAAATCCACGTCATCGATCTCCAGAAGTTTCCCAGACCTCGTGACAAGCTTAGAAGACGTGCAGTTCCAAGTGTTTTCGTTTCCTTTGTTTCGACCATTCAGTTCAGGTGAAACCTTCCCGTGGCGTGTGTTTTTTGAATCCGTCTTACCATAGTGTCCGTTGAATCGTCGGGAGTGAAACTGGAAATGAAATTTGACCATTTTTCAGTTTTTTTTTGGGTGAACAGGCAAAAATCTTCGCTTGGTTAGGAAGAGCCGCGCCCACGGGCTTCAGAATTCATTTTCAGATGAAGGCGTAACTTCAGAAGACGTTGAAATGATATAATTTGAAGAAGGGAAAGTTGGCTTCAACTTCATTTTTACACAAAGCTTCTCGAAAAAATTTGGGTGTGTAATATTAGAGAACTGTCCGATGGTCTATGTACTGCATCAAAGATTCACGTGAATTCCGCGGAATGCAACTGAAAATTCTGAAAATCACCCCGACGATCTCTTGTTCCCTTATTGTTTATCCGAGTAGCTTGTTTTATGGTGACTCAAAATGTCCTGAAATTCCTAGGAAAAAGTGACAAAAAGTGTTTATTTTTGACAGTATAATTGGCTCTATTTTCGCTTCTTTTCTTATTTTTGCGATCTTCAGAAATCATCTTCTTTTTGAAACACCAGACTGGCGTACTGTATTTTTTTTGGTTGGTTGGCACATGGCCAGAGAAAGTAAACAGAAGAAAAAAAAAGAAGAAATAGGAGATATGGGGGTCCAAAACTGGATCCTTCGTCTTCTTCTCCACAACTACGTCTTCTTCGTCTTTCCCATTATCAGTTAGTTTTGGGTGCGCAACGTACCCGTTACATCTGCGTGGGGTCACATTGATAAGGAGAAGATGGGAAAGAAGACGTGGATGGTGGTGGGAGAAACTGATACAAATGATATGGCTATTCAAGGGGGGCACGACGACTTCAAGGTGAGATGACGTGGAAACCAAGAGATCATGAAGAAGAAAAACGGAATCAGTAATCAAGCAGATTAAAAACAGTACTTATCAATTTTTTTTGCAGAGAAAACGAAAAGAAGATGTGAAATGTTTTGTTGGAATTTTAGTGTGGTTGTTGTGATTGCTTTTAGATTCGGATTTTTGATGAAATGAGAAAACATTTTATTTTGGGTTAAAAAAAATAGGAAAATTGAACTTGGAATCAATCATCAGAAATATCAGTATAAAAATGGGTAATTAAAGAAAAAAAAGACAAGGGAAAGATGGAAAGGGATATAAACTTAGTATGAGGAAATTGCAAAAAAGGGCAGGTATTGAAAAAATGCTTGGAATCTGGTTTGGAAAGAGAAGAAAAGAGTATGTATACTGTATTTGAGGGATCTGTGATAAAGGAACATGTGAAATTTGGGACTGTTAAAAACATCTCGAGCGTTTCAATAACTTTTAAACATTTTCTACAGAAATGAATTTATAGGTGTAATCCGACCAAAAAATGTGTTGGAATTTTTATGTATTAGAATCTTTCTAATGTTATGTAAAAAAGACTGAACCCATCATGTGAAAAATAAGATTTTAATTTTCAAAACTCAATCTAAAACTTTTTAGTCCGGGTGTTAGAACTACCACTCCAGTAGAGTGTCACCCAAGCCATCAACTTTGAGCGCATATGTTCTCTCAGTTCCTGTAAAAGATATCAAAAATTGATCAACTGACAAAACATTTTTGATAGTATGATGAACATTTTGGCAGTTGATCATTTTTTGATATCTTTCATAGGAACCGAGATATATGAGCTCATGATTGGATGGCATTCTATTAGACCTACTCTAACATTTGGAGTTTTTTTTGTGAAAATCTATTTTTTCTGATCTTTTAAACTTCTATGCGACCCCGTGCAATCTCTCGCATTTTATTGCATGTTCTCGAAAATTCTTCGATGACTTTCGAAAATTGTGTACTTTTTGATTGGAGCTAATAAGAGTTGTGACACTCTCTAAAAACAGAAATAGAGAAAATATATTACAAAAAATAAGGGGGCTTCCTTGCTGAAGAATACTACTTCCTACATCTATGACGGTTTGCTGGAGAACTCTGTTTAACGGGAATAAAGGGAAGAAAGGCATCCAATCCAGAAGTCAGACCCAAAGTGTGCATAGAAGTATCAACTGTATAAACACATTGCATCTGATTCAAAAACTTTTCAACGTCCATCAATCCCTCACCGGAAATTCCGACATCTGAGATTCCCACTGCATTTGCTAGATCTTGATCCTTCCAGATGGATGTCGAAGTTTCACGAAATTCCTTTGTTCGACAAGTCCGTCATTAGAGATCCGTCTCTTTTCCATGACGTCAACTACGACGAAAGCACTTCCATACTGTTGATTGTTTCCTTGAGGATCATGGAGTTTACAGGTTACAAGACATTGATCATTAATCAGTTTTTGCAATTTTGAATACATTCCAAAAGAAGTAGATGGGAGAGGTGTCGTGGATTCATTGTCGAAGGATACTGGTTTTCTTTTGGTTAAATGGAAGAATGATTCCATTGGGAGACCATACTCAATGAATTCGTAACTTCCGCGAAATCTGAAAATTATGATTCTCTGGATACAATAAAATCCATTATTTCAGTTATACTCACTTTGCATACGCTTTTTCAAGTAAAGGATACCAGAATGCGGATTCGACGGATTGAGCATAATAGAGGGATCCTTCAGAATTGATTGGAAGACGATCATCAACGATAACTCGTATTTGTTGCCCGTCGGCTTTGAAGAAGTTAGAATTTTCCTGGAAATGAACTATTTTTGAAGTTGTTATTTTTCAAGATTTGAACTCAATTTGCCGTGGCGCACCAGCCATCTGTTTGAAGGGTCGGAATTGCGGTTTAGAACCATTTTTCTAGGTAACATATATCTTGACCGACCTGTTTGCGCTTCAAACAGCTGGCTGATGAGCCTTCGGCGCGACTTAACCTATTTCTTTTACTGTACGCCGCTCCGCTCCTCACTTTTCCAAAAGGTCACGTCAAATTAAAATTAATTTTCGAGCTTTTCAAAAAATTTTATTTTTTATTCACGCAAGGCAAAAAATTAATAAATCAATCAAAATAAGGTCACGTCCCCTCCTTCTGTCCACGTTGAAAAAAACCACGTATTGAAAAAGTTCTCTGCGAAATCACACTTCGAATTTTATTGTTGGATAATTTTTACAAGCCCTTCTCTCTGGTAAGAAGCGCTTTGCATACGCTTACTCTTTCGGTTCATTTTCTTTTTAATCTTTTGGTTGGTCGAATGCAAAAAAGTACTAGAAGACCCTAAGGGTCGCCATGTTTTGGGGTTCATGGCTAGGTAGAATCATTTCTACTGAACGTCCCCCTTTTGCAAACGATTCAATCAAAAATTTAAAAGATGTGAAATAACAATACAAAGCGTACGCATAACTTCTTACAAGGGGAAAGGAACTTTAGAAACGCGCCCGTAAATGTACGGAATGGGGCATGGGGGTTTTCCCCAGAATGGGGCATGAGGGGTTTTTTTTTCGATTTTTCGGACTTTTTCTCCCTTACAAAAATCCGATGCCTCGAGCGAGGATCGAACTCGGGTCGATCGTTTCAAACACCGGCGTGTAAACCAGTGCGCTATTCGATCGACAAAGTTTCTATTTGTTTTTGATATATAAATAACTTCTTATTATCGTAATGTGAAAATGCGAAAAATCGTTTTTCTTTTTCGAAATTTTGATAACGGTGAATAAATTTGATAGTTGTAAATACTTAATGGTTCCATATATTGGTGGATCTTCTCAGTCAAAAAATCTAAATTTCGTAACTCCAATTCAAGGATTTTGGGAACGGATTTCGGGATTCCAAAAATTCCGAATATTTCGGGAATGAAATTCCGGTCAGAATATTTCCGAAAGAATTTTTCGGAATGAAATTCCGACCGGAATATTTCTGAAGCTTTCTTTTCGAAAATAGAGATTTTTGGACTACGGTATGTCGCGAAAAGATTGCTTGCGGGCAGAATTCCTTCAGTTTTTTGCGTTTTCAATCTCTTTTTTGCCTATTTCACACAAGGGAAGTACCCGAAATGTCCCCTCGCTTTTTCTTAGATATTGGTGGCAAAAAATGTCCCTTCCTCGGACTAGCACAAACCAGATAATATAAGGTGCCTGAAAATAACGTTGGGCAGAATGGCAAAACTTTTTGTGTTTTTTCAGAAATAGTGGATCAAGTTCATTCAAAAAAACATAACTTTGTTCAGAGCAAAAATAAAATTATAAACTAACATGTTACTTGTAGAACAGATTACAGGCTACAAAAAACATAACGAAACCTTCATTCTATCTTTGAAAAGAAACTTTCTAGGAAGGGAAATGTCCAAATGGTCCGATAATGTGAAATCAAAAAATGCCGATTTTCGAAAAAACACCTTCGGGAGACTATGTTTATTCAATTCCTTTCATGTCATAATGCACAACTGTGATTTCAAATATATAGCTCACCGTTCATTCAAGAGAGATTTTTGAATATAATAATATTTTTTAACTCAATTCTTTTTTTTTAATCAATTTTTTTTAACTCAAAGAAACTAAACCAACTGAATCTTTCATTCTCAGAGCTTATGTGGAAGTTAAGGTGTAGTTATGTTTTTTGTAGCCTGTAATCTGTTCTACAAGAAACATGTTAGTTTATAATTTTATCTTTGCTCTGAACAAAGTTATGATTTTTTGGATGAACTTGATCCACTATTTCTAAAAAAACAAGAAGTTTTGCCATTCTGCTCAACCTGCCTATTGGCACCTTATATCATCTGTTTTGTGCTAGTCCGAGGAAGGGACATTTTTTTGCCACCAATATCTAAGAAAAAGCGAGGGGACACTTCGGGTACTTCCCATATCAGTTAGTGCAGTTTGTACAGTGCAGTTCGTTTATTCGGTTGTTGCAGTGTTTCTTTCTGTTCATAAAATTTTCTGGAGATTTCAGTTTTTGGTATTTTCCTGAGATGGAGGTTGAAAAATAGAAGCCCATGGGTTTCAATTAGAGAAAATACGGTATGTTGAAATGCCGATTCACCGAGCTTTTGAAAATCGAAAAATTTCGATATTCCGAAAATCCGAAATTTTCGAAATCGGAAAATTCTGAGGTTCCGAAATTCCGAAATTTTTAAAATCGGAATTTTCGACATTCCGAAAAACTTCGAAAAAGTCATTCCGAACATCCGAACATAGAAACATATGTTTCAGCCAAAAATGTGAAGAAATTGAATTTTAAAAAACTTGTGACACAAAAGTATCACCAGAAGAAAGGAAATATATTCTTCTTCAAAGGTATTCAGGGTATTTTTTGGGATTTTTCATCCTTCTGAAAATTTATTTTTGGAATTCTGTGTTTTGCTTTTATTGTTTTGCTTATCTTCATTGAAAATGTTGAATTTCAATTTTGATTTTCAATTTATTATTTCCAAAGTAGCATCAAGGGTTTTTTACACATTCAGGGTTCTTTGTTTTTAGGTTTTCGCCGGTTGAGGTGCTGAGCTTATTTCTGTTTAGAATCTTCAACATTTTAACCTTTTTTGCCTTAGCCCATTTTATGTCGGTGCTTGGCACTAAAGAGTTTTTTTTCTGAATTGAAATTATAAAATTATACGATAATATACTTCAGGAAGAACTGGGTATCAAAAACGAAAAAAAAACCCGAAGAATACTATTCAAGTGCTGAAAATACTTTTGAGGGCTGGGTGTTTTAGGGGTAATATAAGCTCGGGGGGTAAATCTTCATATTTTCCTTTTTCCTTTGGAGGGGAATAAATTTGAATCCATTTTATATTGCTTCCGACGAACGACAGCAGATCTACGTTTTTTTTTATGTCAAGTAAAAAATATTTTGGCTATGAAAATCAGCTAATTTTTCAAAATCCTACATAGTCACGTGATTTGATAAAAAACCCCATGCCCCTTTCGTAGATTTACGGGCGTCTACTTTGGAAATCATCCAACAATTATCCTTGGAGACCACGGGCGGGGGAACCTTTTCATGTACTGAGTCATGGCTAGGTGAATTCATTTTCACTGAACGCCCCCTTTTTGCAAAAGACTCCAACCAAAGAAAAAAGAAACAAGTGAACAAAAACAATAAATAGCGATCATATAGTTTTTTAGCAGTGAAAAAGAATTATTGAAAATTAGAAAACTGTCTCCTCGGAGACAGGGGTTTTGTGTTGGTTTTTCCCCCAGTGAAAACCCATTTTTCCTTTCATGTACTGAACCTCTGCGTGGCGAAAGGGATCAACAAACAAAAGTCTGGCTAATCAGTACAGTATTTCGATACTTGTTATTTTTCTTTTCCTATTGTTAATAATAAACGCTTTTTTCTGTGGATGTTAACCATTTTCATGAGTCTGAGGCTCGTCTGTCAGGTTTCGAATCACTTTGAACATTCTGGAGGTTGTTCAAGAGACCTAGATTGAAACTTTCCAATTAACGCATTCATTTTAAATTCTTATGGGGTTATTCAGGGAGTTGGCAAAAAAGGAAAAAAAAACTCCGCGAAAACTCGGAGAGTGTTACAATCTGGCTGAAACTTTCGGGAAAACTGGAGAAAACTATAAGAAACATTTTGCCAAAGTTTGGGGTCAAAATATCAACTTTGAAAATTTGTCTGAAATTCCAGCCATTTTTTTTCTAAAAGACACTCACCTTTTTTCACGGTTTCAGTAGAAAAGCCCGCCAAGACAGATTACCTCCACAATTCTGAGAATGGTCAAAATAGCCGAAAAATATGCTTTTGTAAATCTTAAGGGATCAACAGACGAAACGTCTGGCTAATCAGTAAAATTGTTATTTTTCATAAAATTCAGCTATGTGCCGAATTCTGAAAGGCCTTCTTTTTGGCCAGTTTTTTACTGACAACGTGAAAAAATAGGTGTCTTTCAGAACTCCGGCAAATAGCTGAATAACTAAAAATTTCCAAAAAATTTTGTGAATGCAAAGTTTTCCATCTAGGTCTGTTTTACATCCTCCAAAATTTTCAAAGTGATCGGAAACCAAATTTTGCGACAAGAAAGTGCAAAGCTTTTCACTGTCAACGATTTTTGCTCTTTCATAGTAAATGATTTGAAACCAATTGTCAATACTGATTCGTGAGGAGAGCCTTCCGAAACAAAAAAAACTTTAAAAAAACTTACCTGTATAATTGTTTTGCTCGAAACTTTGCTCCGGAACAACATTATGGAAACTGGTCAAATCTTTGGTTAAACTTGAAACTGCCACCAAAAAGAATCCTGCATGCTGACTCTTCAACTCCTTCCTCCTCTCAAAATGAAGTTTCCAGTCTTGAATATACGGTGAACATTGAATTCCGAAAAACTTTGGGAAGGGAACAAGTTCATGAGGTCTCTTAAAGTTTCCTGCTATCGGAAAATCATGGTCTACGTACAGATTCATAGTAAATGAATTTTGTCCAGGTGACCACTGATAAGAATTTATAGTGGTTTAGTGGTGAGAGGGTTATCAATGCCTCGAAACAGCTTGGAATAGTTTCGGAGCAGCTTTGCTCCTTTGAGAAGTGAGTCACGAGTTGCGGATGATGTTGAACCGGAATAAAAGACGAATTTTATAACCTGGAGTAGAAAATAATGTTGGTAAAAATGGAAGAAAGGAAGTAGGTTGGTTTTTCAGTCAAAGAATAATACAATTAGTCACTCATAATGACGTTGTGATAGTAAAAGAGGTTATTATAGGTACAAAACAATTGGAGCTGTGAAAGGTATTACAACGACAACTACCGTAACCTAAAAATGTTGCTATTGTCAGATTTTTTTCGACTTGTCAGGTGGAAAAAAAGATCAGTAAATAAACAAGAAAATTAATCCTGAAAATAACAATTTTTTAGGTTACTGTAGTTGTCGTTGTGGGACCACAGCTCCGATTTTTTGTACCAGTACAATACTTCAGTTTAGAAAATAATTCTGATCTTCTCAAGATTTTTTCTCCCAAACCGAAAATCAAACTTCCAGATCTTCAAACTACGAATCTTCAGTCATGCTCCAAAAGTGCACCATATGAATCCCTCCTGCACGACATATAATCTAAACAATCGTCCCCTTATTCTCAATTTCTCACCCATTCCCATCCCACTCTTTTCAACAACTTCTTAACACAGTTTTTGTTTGTTTTTATTTTTACAGATTTTTCTTTTCTATTCACAATCTGAAAAATATTTACCCAATGTTATCGGGCAGTGCAAAAAGATCCGCTTGCTTCACCCATTTTTTTTTCTTCCTACCGAATGTTTGATTACTGTCGGTCTGGGAGAGAAAAAAGCTGGGGGAATGTGCTTAGGAACCCAAATCAAACAAACAAATTATCGGAGCGAGAATTGGAGGAAGGAAGCAGTTTTGACACCTTTTCGCCATGATGATAACCACGTGGCAAGCGCTTGATTTGTTTTCAGTTTGCGAGCTAGATGGCTGATAACTTGTTTTGACCATGTGTCCGCCAGTTTAACGCTAGTTAGCTTTTTTAAAAGTACAATAGGCTAGTACTTTTAAACCAAGTACCGTTAAACCTATGGACTTTCATAGCGTCGACTTTGGCCCAATTTATCTTGGTTTCTGTGAACGATACCAAAAAGGGTTCAAGTGACAAAATCGTTTTCATGGTATGAGACATATTTTGATAGTTAACCACTTTTTGATGTCTGTCAAGGCAACCGAGATAAATTTGCTTATAGATTATAATGTGAGGTTTTACGGCATCCATAAAAGTTCAATTTCTTTTCATTTTTTGAATTGTCTGGTGTCACAGATTGCTTTAATCTTTTACAGCGATTTTCAAAAAAGTACCATTGCAGTTCAACAAGATTAACGAAATCTGCAAACCACTAGACACAAATTTTGTCCATGTTCGTTCATCTTTTTCTCTGAACTGTTGAATTCAACACTTCATGATGACACATTTTCAAAAAAGAACGAAAAAAGCGTTCCTATTTTTATCAAATTAGGTGATGAACAGTTTTAAAATAACACGAATTCCGATGTTGATAAGTTTCTATTTTTTATTATTTGTTTGCCTGATTTTCAAAAGGAGTCCGAGTTTGAAGTTTGAAGAAAACCATTGATAATTCACTTCCTTGGTTTTAGTACCTTGTTTTGGCATTCATATCTGATAACAAGACGCCGACCTGGTAAATCTTGGCATTTTTCGCGCCCTTGAGGGGATTTAGGTGTGATATCTTATTTTTTGAAAACGATCGCTGGTGATCATAACCCAATTCATCCAGCTAAATAGGAGTACTTTATCAGCGAACTAATTTTAAATGTGTTTTTGAGCATTTAGAGCTTTTTCTCATTTATCATACTTGTGAACCGGGACCTGGGTCTTCGCTCTGCCATAGTTTCTTGAAGAATTAATATTTTCAGAACAGTTACATGGGATATGATAGAACTCAACAAGTACTACAAAATTTTACTATTTGAAAAACTGTATCTTGTTTTTGAACAAAGTTATACGCCATAAAATGACTGGTCCGGTAGTTGTCCAGAAATATTGGTTCTAAAAGAAGCTAAATCAGGACCCCGATATATGAAAAACTCCTGCAGACAAAAAAGCATTATTTATTTTAGAACATTTTGGTTCGGTAAAATTCATCTTTGCCGTTTTGAGAGCCATTTTTTTTTAATTTTCAGTCCGCCTGCACCCTAACACAGTTCGAAGCCTTCCAACATAATGTGTTCTAACTATTCTGCTCCTTTACAACCCTTTTTGTCACCATCGACGGTGACAATCCATTCTGTTTCTTTTCCAACTTTCCTTTCTCGTTTTCCCCCATTCCAACCTGACAATACCTGTCCCAGAACACATTCCTTTTTATTGTAATTGCACAATTGGCAACATGAATTCCTTATTGGAATTTTGTCTTCTTTTTCTCCTTACAGCCGAAATAGGCGGTACCGAAGGACGTCGAAAACATTTGAAACAGTTTGAACAAATTGGCCACAATTTTTCTTCTCTTGAAATGCATGTCGTTGACACTTTTCAGACAATCGTTTTTGCCCTTCTAAAGTTTTTCTTTCTCAAGTACGTTGCTTCCTTTTTTCCATTTTTAAAAATGAAAATATACCGTAAAACCTGTATTAGAAGGGCCGGCCCTTCTATTTTTCGTGGAGCCACTTCAATTAGAGGGGCCCTATAATTAGAGGGGCACTTGTATTTTTCGTGGGGTCGCTGAGAATGGAACTTCTATTGGAGTGACATCATATTTCAGTGAATATTTCGTTTTTCTACTCAGAATCCGTTGAAATTTCTATATAAAAAACAAAATTTCTCATATTGTCAAATTTAAAAAAAACTGGCACCTGAGAGTTTTGCGGGCATCGTACCGATTTACGAGGTCCCGCCCTTAAATCTCATATTGTATTAAACAAAATTTTTCTTTCAATGTAGTCCGATTTTCTGCATAAAATTCAGGTTTCTTGGTAACATTTTGATCGCTGGAATTTCTAGATTTTTTTCAAATTGTAAACTCCCAGCGAAAATCGATCGAACGAGACAAAAATCAGTGATATAGCGACGGCATTCAAATTCTCATTGACAGGTGCCAGTTTTTTCTTCAATTTGACAATGATTCAATCAAAACAACAGAAAAAACGGCCGAAAATCAAAGGGGGTAGTCAAAGAGGCACTCCAATTAGAGGGGGGTACTTCAAATAGAGGGGCCCTTCAAATAGAGGCACTTCTATTTTTCGTGAGGTCTCTAGGGGGGCACTTCAATTAGAGGGACCTTTCAATTTCCGGGGCCCTTCTAATACAGGTTTTACGGTAGATAGCAGAAAAGATACAGTTCGATGTCTATTGATGATACCTCCTGTTCCATATATTGTTATTCCTTTTTTTTGTTTTTCAGTTACTCCCCTTCACCCTCCCTGGTAGGTTTTTTATCTGATTGCATGTACATGTACTATGAAAGATTGTCTTCAAAATTTTCTCTTTCGGAAAATTGGAAAATTCTAATTACAACGGTTCGCCAAGTTTTGGTATTTTTCTTTTCAACAAAAAATGGGAGAGATAGGAATTTCTCAGTAATATAAAACAGTGTGCCCTTCATAAAACTTTTGAATATTCATGACTCTTCACCTCTTATTCAACTTCATAGTACAGTTCAAGTTTTTCACTTTTTTTACTTTTCTCCCTAGGAAACCCGTATTTTTGTTGTAAAAGTTGAGACATTTGGTGGTGGTTGATTTCTTGTTTGACGAACAATTTTTTGTAAGTCAAAAAATATACGAGAGGAACGAAAAAGTCTGAAACAGGTTACGGTTTTCTAGAATTTAAAGTTGACCTAATATGTTTAAAATTCGAGAAGGTGATTTAAAAATAAAATAAACAAAGTTACCGTATTTTACTAATGAAATCCCACTCTATACGTTTCCTTTAAGCTCAGTTATCTCGGTTCCTTAAAAAGATATCAAAAAATGTAAACTGAAAAATTACTTATCATAAAGTCGTCAATTGAGCTCAAACTTTACAGTGTGGGGGCCCTTTTATTACAGGTTTCACACCAATTTCCGGTTCAAACAGCTACGAATTGCTGTTTCCAATTTTGCCGTTTCAGTTCAAAGATACAGATTTCATAAATTGCTCATCCGATTAGAGATCTTACTCTGTTAGCCAGCTTCTGAAAGACAACCGATTCGAGAAATTCTAAAAAGACAGGGTATTCAGAAAAACCGAAATCTATAAGAAAGCTATGAAAAATGTTGCGCTTTCTTGTTTTTTTTTCCTTTCGGAACCTGGCCTTAGAAATAATATCACAGCTTCTTCTATTTCTTTCTCACTCTTCCTCTTCCGTTAACATCACAGTCATCATGTTTTTTTCCCCAAATGCTATACACTGTTTCTCTTTCCCTCGAAATTCTCGACCCTCAATCCGAAACCTGTTCTCCTTCTGACACGAGAGAGAACCCTTCTAAACCATAACTACAACTACTATGTTTCGTGTGTAACCAACCAAAAAATAATCATCGTCGTGGTCTCTCTTCTGAATCTTCAACAACGTCTTCTTCCTCCTCTTCATATTCTGTTTTTTGCCTCCTCCACCTGATGTCCCCTTCTTCAGTAAAGTCGTTTTGTTTCGTGTAAAATCGTCCGTTTATGGGTGCCACTCACCTTCAGAATGACCCCCGACCCGGGTCTCCAATTGACCATCAGCCAACGGTAGGAGATCTATTGAAATTGATACAATAACCGGTTTTTGAAAAGTTTTCAGACATGGGGAGAAATGTTCAAAAAATGGCCGAAACAGACGTTTCTGATTGTGGGAAATGAGCTATGCGAGAGGTTTAGTTTCTATGGAATGAGAGGTTTGTAAAATACATTGATTACTCTGAAAAATACATTTTAGCCGTTCTGACTCTCTATTTCTTCAACATTCTCGGATTTACCCAATCCTCGAGTACGGTACTTTTCCATGCTTTCACAGTTATATGCTACACTTCTCCACTTCTGGGATCCATTCTTGCTGATGGTTACATTGGAAAGTTTTGGTAAGATTCGAATAGAAAACGTTTTTGAAAAAAATCCCTTTTCAGGACCATCTTCTTCGTCTCAATTTTCTACTCATGCGGTCAAATTCTTCTTGCATTTTCCTCGATTGCTCCAAGCGAAAGCTCACATCATCCGTAAGTTGATTAACTTAATCATTATTAGTGATTCATTTCAGATTCCTTGACCTCCTTGGTCTCCTAATCGTTGGTCTCGGTACAGGAGGTATCAAACCATGTGTCTCGGCTTTCGGTGGTGACCAATTTCCTGCTCATTATACCAGAATGATCTCAATTTTCTTTTCAATGTTTTATTTTTCAATTAACGCCGGATCTCTAATCTCAATGTGGCTCACTCCTCATATGAGATGTAAGTTAAGAGATATAGGGAAAATCGTCTAATCATAAATTTCAGCAATGTCATGCTTCGGCAATGATTCCTGTTATCCATTGGCTTTTGGAATTCCAGCCTTTTTGATGATTGTTGCCACATGTAAGTTGAGTTTAAATATGATAAAGTATTTCTCCTAATTGACGCCCACCCAAATTGTCAAATTTTAGCTCAATTATCTCGGTTTCTCCAAAAGATATCAAAAAGTGGTCAACTGACAAAATGTTTTTGATATTATGATAAACATTTTGTCCGCTGACCACTTTTTGATACTTTTCAGAGGAATCGAGATAATTGAGCTCATAATTGACGCTTTGATGTATGCATTTTTTAGTGGTTTTCATGGCTGGAAGTTATTGGTACAAAAAAGTCCCACCAAAGGAGAACATCATTTTCAGAGTTATCGGAACTATTTTTGTAAGTTTTTCCTTTTTACATTGAAAATAAAGATTATTCCAGACTGCTCTCCGCAATAAACTTTCATCATCCTCATCCCACCATCGTTCCCATTGGCTTGAATACTCATTGAATGGTCATGACTGTGCAATGTCTCCAGAATGCAAAGCTCTTCATGGAAACTGCGCTCAACGGCGATACATTGGAGACATCAAGCAACTGTTCCGAGTGATTGTCATGATGATTCCAGTTCCAATGTTCTGGGCACTCTACGATCAACAAGGATCCACGTGGGTTCTTCAGGCAATTGGAATGGATGGAAATGTATGGGGATGGGAGATTCTACCGGATCAAATGGGAGTGTTGAATGCATTTTTGATCCTTTTCTTCATCCCACTCTTTCAATCCCTTGTGTACCCAGCAATTGAAAGATGCGGATTTGAGCTGACGTTAGTCTTTAAAGAAGCTTTTTTCTAACTTTTTATTTTTTAGAATGCTTCGAAAAATGGCTTGCGGTGGAGTTTTGACAGCACTGGCGTTCTTCGTGTGCGGAGTTGTTCAACTCTTTGTGAATGTGAGTCCAAGAAGAAAGAAACAAAAAAACAGTGGATTTTCAGTCGTCGCTTCCTTACCTTCCAGCTTCAAACGAAGCACATTTAACAATTATCAACACTCTGCCAACTTGTGACTTCAAAGTGCAAATCGATTCCAGAGAACCATTTGATTTGCTGAGAACGACTGTAATATTTAAACATCGATAATGATTATTATGAGGTTTTTTAGGGAATCAACCCAGAAGATCTTGTCATCAAACCAATCAGTTTCTCTGGCGAATCTATGTTCCAGCCAAATATTACCTTCACCAAGTAAGTCATTCCTGGCTAAATGACTCAAAAGTTATAACTATAAATAAGCGTTTTTTAAAGCGACTCACCAAACTGTCCAAAGTTCACTGCTCATCCAACTTTCATTGCTACTAATTCCTATGTTATGACTCTTACACCAAACGGCTGGACCTATAATTCAGTGAAACCTCAAAAACCAAAAAGTGGAAACGGAGAGTTCGGCATTGGGTAAACCACATTTCTCTGTAACTCGAAATACAAAAAAAAGTTTCAGCATCAATTTGATTGTTCCATGTGACAAAATTCCTTCAAGTGTCACCTGGGAGAGTTGCAACGGAACTACAGGTTATTCTGGGAATATTGCATTGTGTAAAGTTGAGACGGATACGGTTTCGGACGCCGAGCACATTTGCACACCTGGTCAGAAAGGGTTCGGTTTTTGAAACAAAAATCGAAACGTTCTAGAAGACACAATTTCAGAAAATTCTACTCTCTATCCAAGTCGAATCATTTGGAAGTACATGATTACGTTAAAGGAGACTCAAGTAGCTATGGTAAAAGTTATGAGGCAGTCGATGTAAGACCAGGAAAGTACAAATTGTTCTACACGGATGAGGCGCAGAAAGTAGGAGAATGTTTTGAATATCTTTAAAAAAGTAATATAATTTTCAGAATTTCTACGCAATGGATCTGGGTACAGTAGAACAAACACATATGGGTGGAGTGTACTTGATGACGATCTCGACAAAGTCAAATGGGGACTCGGTAAGCTTCCAAGCATATAAGGTTAGCTAAATCATTTTTTTTTCAGGATATTCTCGCTACCACAAAGTCGCTTGTATGCCATAACCGTGTCAGTATCCTCTGGCAAATCCCGCAATACGTGATAATCACAGCTGGAGAAGTCATGTTTAGTATCACGGGTCTCGAGTTCGCGTATTCTGAAGCATCACCTCAGTTAAAGTCTGTGGTACAAGCCCTTTGGTTGTTCACTACAGCTGTTGGAGATCTCATTGTGGTCATTATATTCATGTTGAACATTTTCTCGGATGTCGTGAGTATTTTAATGCAAGCTCAATTGCTCATATTTTCCATTTCCAGGCCGTCCAAATGTTCGTGTTCAGTGGAATCATGCTTCTCGTCATTTTCGTTTTCATCCTCCTTGCAGTCTTCTATTACGAATATGCGGATTATTCCAATGAATCGGAAGTTCTTACCGAGAAAATGATGGTGGATGAAGAGCATACTCGCATTTGAAATATAAGCTTTCATGTTCTGTGCCTTTAATATATAATATTTTGTACTATGTAACTTATTAGTTTCCCTGTTCTCATAATAGGGGTCAGCGTCCAACTATCAGACTTCGCTGGCTTTGACACTGAACCCACTTCTGATGCGTGTACATAATTAAAATGAATAAAAATTCAAGCTAATGACCAAATCACAAAAAATCACTAACTGCGAACGTAGAATACTCTCCCAAAGTATTATTACAGGGTGCCGCACAATTACCCGGACTGATAAAACGGGGTTACCTTCAAACATAAGTATCTTGGAAGCACAAAAAAATGGTAGAAATATAATGTTTAGTTTGATTCAAAGATACCGAAATTTTCAAAGCGATTCCTCAAGTCTAGGTATTGTTATGATTGTCGGAAGATGAACGTCCTAATCTGTGGTTTTCATGAGAGAAAGCAGCTTTGACAAGCGATAACTCAGCTCAAGGTTGATCAAATGATTTGAAGCTTGGCTGGTTTACTGATGAATTACTTGAGTTTCATCACACCAAGTTTGAGAACAGTACAAAGCTATGCTCCAACTTTATGATAGTACAATTTGTAGAAGTTACCGTTAACACTCTAACAGAACGCCACCTGGAAAGTCCACTTTGAACCTATATATCTCACTTCTTTTGAAAGATATCGAAAAGTTGTCAACTAATAAAATGTTTATTATGATATCAGCAATATTTTAATCACAGTTAATCACTTTTTGATATCTCTCACAGAAAATGAGATACATGGGCTCAAATTTGACGAATTGGCGTTCTATTTGAGTGATTACCACTCCAATGGTCAGGATGACATCAGTTTGTATTTTGAAAGGAACACAAAGAATGCCTTAAAACTTTTCAGAAATTGAAATTGCGCTAAAAGCGCTTCATACATTTTTGTTCAATAGATACCGACCGCCAAAAAAAGAAAGAAAAACTTCCCCCGCAACTCATGATTCACCGAAAAAAGAGTTTCAAACATTATGATCATTCTGTATTCCAGAATTTTCACGCATTGCATAATAGTATGATGATCTGAAAAGTATGTTTCAGCAGATGATGTAACCTTTTGCCGAGCCGCCTCCACGCTCTCTATTTTTTCTCTCAAATCTATTGAACTTTTTCCCTCAAATATATATTTTGTTTTTTTTTCTCAGCACCAGTTGTCGCAACTCTTTCTTTACTACTCATCTCGGAGTGACCAATCAATTTGACCACTTACTTTTATTTTTTCACCCCTCCTCAAAAAGTTTTTTTCAAGTGTCAGTTGATAAGAGAGCTCTCAACTTTTCAATCACACGATATTGTCACTTTTTTCAACGACGAAGTTGGTTTCAACGGGGCGGTATCATGTGCCGTAATCCGAACTGATAGTCGCCGCTCTTGAATTTTTGACAGGTTTATGTGGAAGAATAGTGCAAGTGATGTTAGGAGTTTTGATGATTTGAAAGAACACTTCGAACTTTGGAAAAAATAAGGAACAGAGAATTATAAAAATACTTTGAACCTCGATTTTTGGTCATCTTAAGAAGAGCATAACAGTGTCTAAATATGATATTTCTTTTTTTGCTCTATTAAAAAATTGGCCTGAATTTTTCAAATTTCAAATTTTTCGGCGTACTTTACTTATAATACTTCAAAATGTGTTCCAACTTGTAAAGCACAACGAATTGGAGCTCAACTTTTAAATCATATAGTGTACATGCTCCGCCAGTAATACAGTAATTTTTGGTTGTTGTACTGAAACTGTTCAAGTTAAAAAAGTTTGGAGGAGACGAGCCGATCAATTGTACTTTTTGTTATTCATTTGTTCAAGAGTCCACTGAATCATTTCCTAGTTACAAAGAACGAAAATGTTGATGTACTTGAGCAAACTGACCAAAATAAAAAATCATTTCCGGTTTTCATACAATAAAAAAATATTTTTGACTGAAACAAAAAGTTTTCAGAATTTATTTTGTTCGGTTTGTAAAGAATTAAATGATCCCTAGACCTTTGTGAGATCTCAGTTTGAAAGTTTAGCAAAAATTAAAACATTCCTTTACTAAAACTTCACAGTCCAATTAATCAAACACCAGGAAATCAAGATTTTACTATCAAGCGTACTACTTGTTGATTTTGTAGTTCTGTTCTACCGGAAGATTAATTCCCTGAGCAAATAAAACATTGTGAACTTTGCGCATGATTGGAGAGAAATTCGCTAACTTTTGTATAGTTACAAAAGACAGAGAAAGTAAAAAAAGTTTGACTATAACTAGAAAATAGTGTAACTTTTTGCAAGCGAATTATATTTTTGTTTTGATTCTTGAGTTCCTGAGCACTTTCCAAACATTTGAAGGAAAACTGGTTTTCCTGGATGTTGTTTTTCCATGAATCCTATTTCTTCTCAAGAACTGTGAACTCCTAATTTCTTATCATACTGATAATATAATGACATATGTCTAAAAGTATTGGTTGAAGTAAACAAGTTTCGACTTTTTCAAACCGTCGATTTCAGTTTTTAAAAATATAGTTTTGTACGAAAATTTGAAACTTGCCGAAACTTTACTTTCTGAAAGTTTCAAAAATTCGATTGAGCATTTATTGCAGGAGGATCTTTTTTTATTTGAATAGCCACTGACTTTTTTTTCTAAAATCATATTTTGGAGTCGTCATTTCCTGAAACCATGTCAAAACTTAACCATGTCAAAACTTATCTTAGTTGTAAAATGTCAAATGTAATCTGAATGACAATATAAAATTTCGATTTCTGATGTAACTCGTTATGTCTAGAGTTGTCTGCTTATAGCTCATAAAACACCCACTCCACGTATCGTATTGTTAAAAGAGTTAGAGATTCTCACATAGAACACCTTAGATGTATTGCTAACTAAACATGTATTCGATTTCAATTTTTACCGTTAAGCCTGTCATAGAAAAGCTCCCTAACTTTCAACTTTGAGCCAATTTATCTCGGTGCTTTTAATAGATAATCATAGATACACAAAACTAGCCAACCTGGAAAATGTTTATCATAATATCACAAACATTTTATCAGTTGACACATTTTTGAAATCTCAAAAACCGACATTTAAAAAAAGTTTGGCCCGTAAAATGGCAGCCCGTCTCCGTGGCCTAAGTTTCTCATTGCGCGGGAACTCAAACTCTCGTCCTTCATCGCAACCTTTTATATATTTTCGTCGTCGCTACAATTTTCAGTCATGTTCCTGTCATGTTCATGTTCCTGTCAGTCAATGATTTCAATCAACCGTTTTGAAACTATTACACAACCGTCCCACCTGGGCCAAAAAAATGTTCTTCACTTTTTTTTCAAAAGATACCATCCTCCACTTTTTGTGAAGGTGTCGGAAATCTGAAACTGCTTCAGTTTATGCTGGTCGACAGGAATCTCCTGTCCACACATACTAATCCGTATCTCTTGAAGATCTTCAGATGCCAATCAGACATTCAAAGAGAGGGGAAAAGCCTTTCGTCTCTTCTCTATGTCATTTTGCCCTTCAGATCGTAAACACCCAAATGAAGAGTTGAATCGATAAGAAAATCTGAAGAGACATTCGCTCTCTCTCTCTCTCTCTCTCTCTCTGTTGCTCTTTTCCTGATAAACAGTCCCTTTTTCTGTTTTGTCACGTATTCTTATCTTTTATGGTCATAAGGCAACACATTCCTCTTAACACAATTCTTGTGTTTGTGACGTGGCAGAAGATCAGAAATAGATCAAGAATTGAGCATTGGTTGCACCTTGAAATCTTCAGATGACTAACAACACTAATCCATATACAGTCATCTGAGGTGCGGTCCTTGTTATATTCCCCCGCCGATCGTCCACTCTTTGGTCATTTCTTCGATTTTCGAAACTAATAATTCAAAATGTGTATATATGCATACACAAACTGTACACTAATACTCTCCTTCTTCCCGATTCTTTCTCGTTTCCCTTAATAATAATCGGTTCCAAAACTCTTTTCACTCTCGTTTCTCTACCATCTCTCTTCTATTTCTCTCTTATCAAATCTTTTCGAAGTTTTTGAGAGTTGATGATAAAATAATAAGCATCAATAACTTTTTTTTTTGATTTCATTCCTTTTTCGAAATCTTTTTATTTCCTTTTTCGTTCCTTGAGAAAAACTTATCAGTCGGTTAGGAAATGTTTAAATAGGGTCCAGTAGAGAGGACGAATTCAGTGTATTTTCTGTTATCTAGAATTTTGTTCTAGGGGCGTCTTCACAAGTTTGGACTGAGCTCTCCAAAACATTTTTGGATTGAATAGTATTGGAGATTCGTTCCAAACTTGTGTTGTCTTTTTTAACGCCTATACTTTGTATCGGTAAGTCTGAATAGGAAAAGTTTGGGCTTAAAACCAAAGGTTTCAAAGCAGATTAGAAAGGACTAGAGTCAAAGACGCTTAAAAAATTTAGAGTTGAGTGTTGCCATAGGAAACTTTTCATGGAGAATTCCTATCAGTTCGTGGTTCTTCTTTGTCCGAGCTTTAAAAAATCCGGTAGTATTCATTCAAAAAAAAGACGTTGTACTTTTGGGGATTTACTAACAATTTTCTTTTTAAATTTTGGTAGTTCTATTCTTTTTCGAATTACCGTAAAACCTGTAATAGAAGGCCCCCCCCCATACACTGTCAAGTTTGAGCTAGTTCTTCTTCGTTCCTATGCTTGATATCCGGAATCGAAAAATTAAGCTCAAAGTTAAAAGCTAGGGGGCCCTTCAAATACAGGTTTTACGGTTTTAAAAGGAGAGCGGGTCAGTAGATTTTTCGGAGTTTTTGGAATTACGGTATGCATGCTGACGTGACAGTGTATTATAAACCCCGATCCTTCGAGCGGCACCTTCATCGATGGATCCAAAAGTTCAACTTCTTGAGGGACTTATCTGAACTGAGTTTTGAAAAAGATTATTTTCCTATGTCCCCTTCTTCAAATGCTCAGAATTTTTGAAACATCGGAAACTTTTTTAGGCTTTCTCATGTTATTGTTACCCCAATAAAACCGCATGTTCCTCTACCGGCCGATGTTGTTTCGTATCATCTGGAACATAAATAAAAACCAAACACAATCCGCATCCATGTGTCATCCTTCTTCTCTGCCACTCCGTATTCCTAAAAAAGGTCAAAACTTTTTTGGCAAACTAGATTTTTTTGGATCCCAATCGGTCTTTCACACTCACCCTCACCAATTTTTACATGTGTCACTTATTTTTAATACGGATCAATGATCCAATTTTGAAAGTTTTGAGTCTGGCCTAGAAGTCGAGATGTTTAGAATCCTCGTCCCCGCGCTGACTACAAAGTCTCAATGTGACAGCATTTTATGACCCAGCTGTAAAATATTCCACACTTTGTAACCTAGAGTTTCTGATCATGACATTGAACCCTCAATCCTCTTTTTTTGTTATTTTTATCATTGATATCGGAATGATAAGAATACGCAAAACGACGTATGGAATTGTGGGTTCAATTATGTCTCCAAACGGCCTTTGACCATGACAATATCTACAGTAATCCTCTACGTACCTCTAAAAAGAATAGTTAGATTTCTCTGAACATTTGATTAGTTATAATCAGCAATTCTTGAGCTAAAAAAAATACTGTTTAGTCTATACGATTGTACAAAAGGTATCCGTATCTAATCTAAACACTTTCAGTGGAAACAAAGAACAGTTATTATTATTCATTTCTCTTTGTCTTCACACCTTTCATTCATTTATTCACACTCCTCGTGTTCGTTTTCTTTCTTGTTTTGCCTCACCTTTCCTCACTTTTTCTCCCCTTTCCCGTCTCTCGGAATGACATCAGAATCGAGACTTCCTCTCCGGCTCTCATGATGCTCCGCGCAGCACCGGTTCCTTCTCTTGATATGATATAAAACCAACAGAAAAAATTATTGTACTTGAAAGTCATTTCATTTGCAGAGACAGAGAGATGGCGGGTTACTACCTTTTTCTACAGCTAGGATGTGCATTTGGATTGTTGGCTGTGACGGCTTTTTTTGGATTTATACCTCTATGGGTGAGTGAAATTAGAAAAATTTTGGAATACTGCTTAAAATGTACCGCAAGAAATAGGATTCCAAGGCCTAGAATCTGAAAGAAATATCGTAAACACTACATATTACATAGGATGCCCCCTCGCAACGGCCAACTTTAAGCTCATATAACTCATTTCCGGTCAGAGATATCAGAAAGTAATCAACTGATAAAATGTTAATCATAATGTCACAAACATTTTATTTGTTGACTTATTTTGGATACCTCTGACAAGGAGTCGTAAATTCTGAAAAAAGAATCTGGAGTTTTTCCTCTGTTTTTAACAAGTACATCCTTCAAAAACCTAGGTAAATATGTCCAGAGCACAAAAATTCAAGTCCATTCGATAATTTCCAACTTTATTTCAGCTTCTCGAATTCCTGCGGAAGAAGGGAAAGGACCAATCGGAAAGCGGATGGCTGTCATACCTCTCGTGTTTCTCAGGAGGAGTATTTATGGCGACCTGCTTCCTAGATGTCATCCCTCATGTTAGGTAAGTCTTGTAGTCCTTTATTCTTTAAAAGATTCAATTCCAATTTTCAGCGAGAATTATCAAAAAATGATTGAAGATTACGGTGTGGAATATCCAGTTCCACTGTTTCAAGTGTTCATCTGTTGCGGCTTCTTTTTTGTCTACTTCATTGAAGAAATCACAGGATTGGTGAGCTTTTACTCTGAAAATCTTGATTCTAGATTTTGAATTCCAGATATTTGGAGCAGGAGAACATGGTCATTCACACGGGCACGGCCACTCCCATGCAGGACCTATTCATGTTGACAACAAGGAAGAGAAAGTCACGAAGTTAGTTTATATTTTTACCTTGTGAAGTTTGTGGTGTCCTTTCCCTTCTAATCTGAAGTCTTTGTCCCTTGTCCTTTCTTATCCTTGACTAATTTTGCACGCCTTCTACTTCTTCGCATGGTGTGTTTCTTCTTCAGACAAGTTCTCCTGGAAGATGGAACTGGTGCCGAACTAACCATTCCTGTTGATAATCGACTCTTGAATCGCCACAGGTATCATCTTTTTAAGTTTATGAATGCATGAATTTTCACACTATCTATTTTTGGTTTTGGTTATTTCTGACTTTTGTTTATGTGTGCTCTAACAATAGTAACTTTAAAAAACACAAAATCGCTTTGCACAATTTCTATTCTTTAATTTTCAGTCTCGTTGTGGAAGAAGCTGCTCCTTGGGTGGTTTCCGATGAGAAGAGCAACTTCCTCAAGTCACTTACCTTTGCTGCAGCAATGTCCTTCCACTCACTCCTGGAGGGATTCGCTTTAGGAGTTCAGGATAGTCAAACAGCCATTATTACCCTCTTTCTCTCACTTCTTCTCCACAAATCTATTGAATCCTTCTCTGTCGGACTCCAGATTTCCAGATCCAATAGCAATAAGGTGAGTTATACTGGGGATCTTAGCGTCTTTATGATTTAGAAATTTCTAGAAGAAAACTGTGATCTTCACCATTCTGGTTTATGCATTCATGACACCTCTTGGATCAGTTCTTGGCTCAGTTCTCCAAAATGTTGGAGGTCCATCTTTCACCAAACAATTCGTCATTGTCCTTCTCGAATCAGCTGCTGCCGGAACTTTCATCTATGTGACCTTTTTGGAGATCCTGGCCGCCGAGAAGAACAATCGATTTAATTCTCTGAAACAACTCGCTGCTATTCTGTTCGGTTTCATCCTCATCCTAATGCTCCAAATTCTTTTCGGCCACGAGGCTCACGGACATGCTCATGGAGATCCAGCCTCATCGGACCACGGTCCATCTATTAACCCAATTCCATCTGTTTCTTCTTTCCTTGTTTCCTCTCCAGCCATATAACTTCATATTGATCTTCTCTTCAAAGACTCAAAAATCTGAAAAACCGGTGTTTTCGTCCACGAGTCCAAAACTCTGACCGTCCCAATGAACTTTCCTCCCAGTCTCTCTTCACCTTGCTCTATCTCCTATCGGCTCAAGCTTTACCCATTTTTCTATATTGACTATGTACTCATCTAGCCTTTTCCAATGTTCCCAACCATGTCACAACTGACAATTCTCTGTATAAATGCTCTTTTTCTCCGACAATGTTTCTGTGATTCAGACCTTGACCCCCACTAGTTCACTTTCGATATGTAATAATATTTGATATAGGTTCGATTGTTTTTTCTTGTATGAAAAACAGATACAGGTACTTTTTGTTATTCAATAAAGTATGGTTTTTGAAGGAAAACAGAAATATTGTACAAGATTGACGAATCGATTATAAGTGAGATAGGAGATGAGGAAAAGAAAAAGGTTATCAATAAACGGTTTGATTGCTGTTAACCGATCGCCGTCTTCGTCCACATCCACCACCGTAACCGCCACCGTATCCGCCACCGTACCCACTGCTACATCCGCCACATCGAGGAACATATTGAGGAACCATGCAGGGCTGAAAATGATCGAATTTATGACATCCACAGTTTATACAATACCTGATACATTGTAACCGGAGGTGGACAAGAGCATGGAGGTGGTGGTGGAGCACATACGACTGGTGGAGGACATGGAGGAGGTGGAGGTGGCATACAGACTGGAGGAGGTGGTGGAGGTAGACAGGAGCATCCCATGTTGCAACCTCCGCAGGAACTTCCGCAGCCACAACCGCCGCCACCGCCTGAAAAGGGATAGAGGGAGTTGGGATCATTTTTGAAATGTACAGAATGATGCATAATTATCCGGACTGATAAAAACGGGTATATCTTTAGACATAAGACTCCAAGAAGCACTAAAATTGGTAGAAATATAATGTTACGTTTGATTCAAAGCTACTGGAATTTTCAAAGCAATTCCTCAAGTCTAGGTGTTGCTATTACTGTCCAAAAATGTCTTTGTGCTTTTCATGAGATAAAGCAACTTTGATAAGCGATAACTCACAATCAGCTCAATGTTGGTCAAATTACATAAAACTTGGCACGTTTACTGATGGATTGTTTATGTTTTTGCAGACCAAGTTTGTGCTCAGTACAGCGCTTCACTCAAATAGTATGCTAGTACAAACCATACTTGCAAAATTACGGGCCGGCCCGCGGGCCGGGTCGCGGGTCGGCCCTTGATAACTTTAAAAATTATATAACTGTTTTTTTCTTTTTTAATTCAAAAAAATGTCTTAAATTTTCGTTGGATTTTTTTTTACTGAGAAAGGGCCGGCGGGCCGGGCCGGCAAAATTGTCGCTTTGACCCGGCCCGGCCCGGCCCGTTGCAAGTATGGTACAAACTTGAGTCCGAGTGATTATGCGCCACCCGGTATTATACAGATAATCATATTAATCGAAGTTAAACTCCAAAACTTCTAAACTGAAAACCGAATCCATTTTCTTGAGGTTTTTTTTTAAATTTCTTTAGGACCAAGTATTCCTCCCTACTTTTTCAAACAACAGTATGTTTAAATATTCATTGATGATCTTACCAAAACCAAACAGAAAAGAGTTTACAAGAAATGGTGATGTAGAGAATAGAATGAGAATCAGAAGCATCATATGTTTTGGAGATGTTCCACGAAAATGAGAAATTGAAAAGAAACAAAACGGTTTAAGTATGGAAAAGTGGGGAGGTGGGGGATTAGTTGAACGTCTCGGATCCGGTGTTGTTTCGAATTACTTCTTCTTCTTCTTCTTATTCTCTTTTTGGGATAGTGGTTAGCCCTTCTCCAATTTACTCTTCATTCCGTAGTTTTCTACTTTTTTATTTCATTTCTTCATTTCGGGACATTAATCGTTTTGTGGATTCAGGGAGAGCGAGGGTTTCCTGCCTTTTTTTGGATTCGGAAAGCTGCTAAAGGAGGGACGGAGATGGATAGAGATCAGATGATGAGTGTAGATTTTTGAGGGATTCAGAAGAAGTGCAGATTCATACAGAGAACTCTTCATTCGCTTTCACTTCCGCTCGGATTATTTCATTTCGGACTAGATCGTACTCAATGTCGAACGATCTTTTGACCATTGATCTGCAAAAATAACGATGGGTTTAGCAAACGCCAGAAGTCATAAAGGAGTCTGGCGGATTCTGAAGGTGATTCAGAAACAAGGTAAAATGACTTTTTTAAATTTGATAAGAGTTAGTGAACTAAATTCATTAGGGCTACAAAAACCATCAGTGTTCTAGAAGTTTTTGAACCGGATATATGCGCGTCTCGGGCGCCCCAGACATAATAAATATAATCTCATTAGATTAAATTTTGGATTAAAGAAAAAAGTCTTACTTCTTCTTCTCAATCTTCTCAATTTGCCGTTGCATATTAGAATCGCAAATGTAGACGAAAGCACGCCAGACAACCGACAGCATATAGAATTCGAAGCAGATCATAAATAACTGGAAATAATGGAAAAAGATGAAATATGTGTCTAGAAAAATAGAGAGACTTACCAAAACAGTATTATGGAGGATCGGCTGCATTTCGACAGTGTCTTTTGAGTTGGCAGTGTCGAGGAAATCGACAAAAAGATGAAGGATTAGGACGAAAATGAATAAGACACATACGGTAAAGTAGGGGATCAAGAAGATGTATCTGGAAAGGAGATGAAAGTTTATAGGGGTTGCGGTGAGAGTTGTAAAAATAAGTATACAAAAATTTAAAGTTAGGAAACATAAACATTTTTGCACCTTGCAAAATCTAGAAGGAATTTGCAAACTTGTAATTTATGATCATAACAAATATCATTTTGATCTTTGCTCACCTCTTCAGACGGACTCCCGCAACCAACAAAACGTTTGTAATACAAACTGTAAGAAACGCGAATGTAGCAGCTGAAAAAAAAAACATACTTTTGATTGATAAGCTAACCAGTCTGAAAACGCCCAAAAAACTAAAATAGCTACCGTATTCCCGTCTCTATTATCATTGGTTTAAACCACTCACAAAATATTCCTAATGGCGATTCGGTGTCCATTACTTGAAGAAATAGGAAGGAAAATACGAGGATGGTTTTGATGATGGTCAGGACTAGAAGAACTTCTCGAATGTGCATTGTGCCAAAAAATGCTCGGTATCGAATGTTTTCTTCCTGGAAAAATTTTAAGTGGAATGGGAAATTTGAACCAAAATTTTTTCAAGCTATGAGGTTTTCCCTACTTTAATGCTTATAAAAACTGGTATATCTTTAGACATAAGTATCTTGGAAGCACAAAAATTGGTATAAATATATTTTTACGCTTGATTTAATGCCACCGAAATTTTCAAAGCAATTCCTCAAGTCTAGGCTATGATAGTCTAAAGATGAACGGCGTAATTTTTCTTCTGATTCTCATGAGATGTATGCCAATACAAACTCTAGCTCGGGAAATTGTGCGCAATTCTGTAATTACAATTTCGACATTTGAGACGTTTCAGATTGGTCAAACAGTCCATCTTGCCTAACAAGCCTCGTTCTTTTATTAGTTTGAAAATCAAACAGTTTTCTAATTTCCTCCAAACCTCATAAACTCTAATTCGGACAATATTGTGCTCATTAATTTGACTATAAGCATGACGTAAATAGATCATAGCCCCGGGTAGATTGTGCCCTTGAAATACCGAATTTCCTAAAACCACACCCAACTACCACTATCACTTTATCACAAAAGCAAGAAAACAAACATCGAATAAAGCGGGATCCTCTCTTCTTTGATCGAACATACAACAACAACAATAGGATTTTACATATGCCCTTGGAGTAATTGAATCTCTCTTCTGAAGAGGCTCGCAATCCGATAATTTTGACATAGTGTTCTGGAAGAATTTTGATTGAAAAAACTGTTAGAAAAATGAAGAGGAAGAAGTCACAAGTTCGTAGATGACCACAGGTGATTTACGAGAAAAAAAGAGAGTTTTTAGGGAGGTGGTTTTGTGTTAATTTGATTTGATTTGATTAGCGAAAAATGGCGAAAAAGTTTAAACGGGGTGAAGAAGAAGGTGGTAATAAGTCAGAGAAAATGATTCTCTAGGATAGTCATAAAACAGTGATTTTCAAAAAAACGTTCTTGAAAACCTGAATATCCCATTTGAAAAATACCGTATTTCCTCTAATTGAAGCCCATGGGCTTCTAATTTTCAACCTCCTTTTTAGAAAATTACCAAGTACTGAAATTACCGGAAATTTTTTGAAATAGAAGGAAAATGTATACAATAACCGAATAGACGAACTGCACTGTTCTAACTTCACTAACTGAACTGCCCGTACTTCTGTTAGAAGACGCGCTTCTTTGTTTCTAAGCACGTCAGAGGGTGGGCTTCTATTAGCCATGGGCTCCAAATAGAGGTGGGCTTTTATTAGAGGAAACACGGTAGATGGGATACAAGAAAATTATTTATCAGTTCCAGAGTTTTGCGACCTGCACTTAACATGTGATTTTGAAGACTTGGCCTTCAAAAAACCTGAAAAAGGTCATCTGATGCCCTAGAAGTTCACCATGCGCATAACATAGTACAACGAGTGAAAAACATTAATGTAAATTGTCCTATTACAGTAAATGCTCTGATAGAAGTCCTCCCTATATGTGCACTTTGAGCTCAATTATCTCAATTCCTGTATAAAATATCAAAAAGTAGTCAACAAAGGGTTTTTGATATTATGATATGATAAACATTTCAATAGTTGACACATTTTTGATTTAAGCAAATATATAAGAAAGTCAAAATTATATAAAGTAGAAAACGTTCAAGATCAAAATGTCCCAAAAAATTGTAATCAACCCAATGAGAAGATCGCACGTTTGATGAGAACCATCAGTGAATCGACAGGAATTATATACGCACAAACAGACATATCAATCTTCATTTGATGATAAAATCATAAACGAACTTTGACCGAAAATCGTTAGGAAAAAAGGAGGAGGAGGAGATTATATCATCAGACAAGTTCGACACAAGAGGATTACTATAGGTGGTGGTGTCACATCTGGTGGTGGAGGGATTCAGAAGACATAACGAAAAAAAAATTTGGAAAATGGTGGATGATCATGATGATAAGGAGTAGTGGTGGGGGATACAAGAATCAAGAAGCAAGTGATCAGAAATCGAAATAAAAGGGAAGAATAAGAGGAACGAATTGGACGATCATTGGGACAGGGAGCGGTTAGAAGAGGGAAGAAAAAGAAGAAGACGTGAGAATGGAAATGACTGATTTTTGTGTCTCTGACCAGAAGACCCCTGGTTAACTATTATACTTTTTAGAGTCACTTCTTTTTTGTTGTTCCGGAGAAAGTACGATCGAATTAGGGGATGTTAAAAGTTAGTACTTTTTAATGGGGAAAAGAGGAAGATCATTGGTAAATAAGATGAAAAATTTAAGAAGAATGACGGTTGGTTTTTGGCTAATAGACACCAGAACATAAATTTTCAGTCGACAAATAGTGTTTTGAATTTTTTGAAATGCTTGGAACAGCAGCTACAGTAATCTTTTCTTCATGAATCGAACTTCAAAAAAAATCTCCACCCCAGCTGATTTCTACCAATTCAACCATCACCGACTACCAATAAAATTAACGAATTTACTTTGAAAACTTTTTTCCAAACCGTCGAAAATGGAACAAAGAAAGACCACATGATTGGTCAACGACAGAAGCTAATCAGAAGGAAGAAATGGTTCAAAGGTCTTCTTTTCGGAAAAAAAGAAAGTGAATTACATATAGAGAATCCCTTTGCACCTATGATTAGGGGGCGTGGCTTAGAAAGTACAGTACTTTGATAGCGATCTATCTCTTTTCTTTTTCTTTTTCATCTTCTTTTTACTTCCTACCCCTGGAATGGAAATAAAAATTTGAACTTAAAAAAATTGTTATTCCGAAACAACTGAAATTTGTCCTTCTTGATTCTCATCCTCCTCATCATCATCTAATTGTCAGAATCGAGTTTCTTCGTCGTGGCAATTTCGGCGAGCCTCGTCCAGGAATCCTGGAATTGAACAAAATTTTGTTTGAGATTTTCAGATTTTTCGAGTTTCAGAACTTCAGAAATTAAGAATTGAAGAATTGAAGAATTCCAGAGTATTAGATGTTTCAATTTAGAAATTTTTGGATTACCGAAATTTCAGAATTTGGCAATTTGAGAACAATAAAACATTTGAATTTCAGAATTTCATTACAGAGTTTCAGGTTTTCAGATTTCTAAACTTTCCGATTTTCCGAATTTCAGAACTTCAAAATATCAGAATTTTCGAATTTCAGATTTTCGAATGTCAGGATCTCAGAATTGCAATCTTCGGAATTTCACATATTCAAAACTGCAGAACCTCAAAATCTCAAAATCGCAGAATCTCAGATTTTCAGATGTTCAGGCTTCCAATATTTTAGAATTCCGGAAGTTCAGAATTTGAGAATATTTTTTTCATATTTTCATATCAGATTCTGAACACAAGTAATACGAATTTCGTGTCCCAAAGCATGAAAACAGTTATTTCAAAATCCAAAGACTCAAGAACACAAACTCCAATGTATTCGAATCTCTCAAATCTCTCACCCCTCCCACACTACTCTACACCAGATGGGCATAATTTGATTAGATCTCCAACGAAATATATAAATAAACCATCTATTACGTGTGACTATCTCGGATATCCGTTTTTTAAAGAAATTCCAAGAAATTCTCACCTCGTTTCATCTCTCGAATCACCGAACTCATGAATTTTTCCCATCCTATAATGACGACTGTACTTGAATTGGATGGAAAAATGGATGGAACACTTTTCAGATCAATTACACTGCTTCCAGAACTCCCGCAGTCATTTGTTACGCTCTCCACTGTCACCTTTTTGAATGTCAACCAGTTATCAGCACCGAAATTCACACCCCTGGAAGTCCTTGGCTATTTCGCTCTACTGAATTTCGCTCTATTGATACTCACCTATAAAAATGAATCTGCCCAATCCTGTACGCCATCTGATGTATATTTCCAATTGGACAAAACCCGAGTGATGAAACAGCAGTATCTAGGAAATTCTGTATCCGATGAGACTGTAATTGAAACTCTCTACAACTGAAGACGTCATCCTTTTTTTCGTCCACATGAATCCCAAAATAATCTTTAAACTGCGGCTTCCTCTCAATAAGAGCTTGTAGAATATGCTTTCCGATTTCTCGTTCTTTGGCTCTGAAATTTTTGTTTGATTGGTTGCATTGATCTTATGACATTTATCACCAGTTAGACATACCGGATGTCCGTGTCATTAAGGAATAATTTAAAATGATGATTTGATTTTCATATGAATACATTTTTGATCTTAGCTTTCACTACGTAGTGCAGGGAACGATAAATGTAAGTTGAGGTCTAGTACATCTCCGGATCTATCATGAGGGCTTTTCTTGGAAATTTCGATGTGTGGTCTACAACTTTACGTCGTAAACAACAACTATAATCTACGACTCTTAAAATAAATGGATCACTATTTTGGAATTGGTTTGGAGCTGACAAAAAAGAGAGAATTTTTAAACGAACAAAGCCCAGGAAAATACTGGGATTCACAGAGAATCATCCCCTATATGTCCACTTTTAGCTCAATTATCTTGGTTCATTCAAAACATTTCCAAAAATGTTTAATTAACAAATTATTTATCATTATATTACCAATATTTTATTAGTTGACAGATTTTTATATATCTTATAGAAACCGAGATAATTGAGCTCAAATGCACTTATAGGGTGGGCTTCTATTAGAGCAAATACGGTTAGCGCCCGAGAACAATTAGACGTTCTCAAAGTAAAAAACGAAGTCGTATATATCTGCAAAATTTCAAAAATTATGAGTTTTTGAATATGTGAAAAAATAAACGTTGCAATTATAATCTTGTTGACAATTTAAAGGCTCACCTTTTCCAAGAATCTCTGACTGCTTGCATCTCGTCACTTGACAATTCCATACTCCTCTCCGAACTCCTTCCAAAACAATTGAGCTTCATCTTCTGGAAATCAACAGAATATCAGAATACTGAAAAATGGCAAATGAATGAACGTGTTAAGAAGTGCAACGGAAAGAGGGCGGAGCTCTGCAGTAGCATGAAGCATCGAAACCTAATTCGATGAAAGTGATTTGAAGAAAAAGAAGAAGGGGATTAAAGGGGGAAAAGAGAATGAAGATGTTCGCACCTTGGAGAAATTGCAAAAATGAAATCATTTTATGTTGAAGGCGGGACTTGAATTAATTAGAAACAAATGTATTCTGATGGTTCGATGAGTTCAGAAAAACGAGAAAAATAGCGCGTACCTTCAAGAATGTCTGATGACATTTGGGAAGAGGTTTAAGGGTGCAATGGTATAGAAGATTATCGGGTTGCCAATCCAATTGCGCTCTAATGAGAAAAATGAATTTTCTCTCTTTGAAAAAAAAACAAATCGGAAAACACCCGCAATGATCTGAAAAGAGCATAAAATTCGGTTAAAAATTTCTCGGTTAGCGTTTGTGACTTCTTCCGATGAGAATAGATAGTTTTTTTTTCAAAGTGTGTTTATCGCTTTATTTTGTGGAGAAAATCATGTAGATTCACATAAAAATGAAGAAAAAAATGTTCGGGGAAAAAATCCTAGAATGGGAATAACCTGCATTGAAAAACGAATTCGGCACTTATGGACGAGCTTGAGTTTTCTGGTCCCTCGCGGCCGCGGCCAGCTCGCGAAAAAATTGTATCTGCATGTTTTCTTGATTTTTTTTTGAGATTTTTTCAGGTTTTTTGAGATATTCTAGGAGAAAAAGCAACAAAAATTTGTAAAAGCCTGTAAAATCTCAAAAAATCCTGAAAATCAAGAAAAAATTTAAAATGGAAGTTTCCGAGCGCCTCAAATTATTTAACTTTAAAATGTTACGACTTCCAGAAAAAAACTAATAAATATTTATTCGCCTCACATTCCAGAAAATTCTCACTAATGAATCTTCATTCACCTCATTCTTCGGACTTACAGATTTTCGGAAACTCCCAAAATAACGCTTTAACTTCATCAAGGCGGCTCTTCATAATTTCATTATCTCCCTCTCAACTTATTTGGTAAACAGCAAAAGTGCTTCTTCTTTCTTTTCCAGATCATATCACAAGGCTCCAGAAATAGAAGAAGAAGAAGGAAACCTTACTGAAACATCAGGAAGCTAAGAGGAGAGATTTCAGAATTTCAGGAATTCCGCATCGTATTAATAATGTGAAAAATCGGTGAAAGATGGGAAGAAGAGTTTGCAGGAGCATTTCTGGCGTAATCGCATTTGAATTCTGTAGAAATAGAGTGCTTTGGAGGAGTTGTCTTCTTCTGGAAAGAAATAAATCAGGAATAAATGGGGGAATGACGAAGAAAACAAGAGGAAGAGTTGCTCATCCGAGAATGTCGAAATTTCCTTTTTTTTGCTTGAGCCAAAAAAAGAGGAACAGTAAAATGGGGAGGGTACACTTATTGCAACGATTACATCACATGGAGTCTGAGGAGCAAGTAATAGATCAAAGAGAAAAAAAAACAAAAAAGGACTTCCGGGACCAGTATTCATGGGTACATATATGTTTCAGGGTACATTAGTTCCAAGGGTACATGGGGTTATTGGTACATGTGGGAGAATGAAACAAACCAGTTTTTAGAGGATGATTTGTTTTTTGCTCAAAATTATAGGCTAAACGCCGTGCACCCCAAAGATATTATGTGCCCTCTGAACCAATGTACCTAGAATTGGATGTACTATTTAAGAACTGGATGTAGTATTTTTCTGGTGTACACTTGGATCGTGGTACCCGGACCAATTTTTGACTTATTCGGAATGAAAATTTTGAAAAACATGGATCTTCCCAGTATGAGAAAGTGAAGTATAGTATCCTGTATATTTTTTGGTTTTCAGGTTTAAAAAACCCGAATATTTACCGTTTCTATTGGTCAGTTTTTACTCGAAAAACAGGATAGCTCATAAGTCGTAACGGTTTGATTGAAACTGTACATCAACTATCTGACTCTGAAGATCACCCAAATCGTCAAATTTGGGCTTATATATCTCGATTCATGTTGAAGATCTCAAAAAGTGGTCAACTGAGAAAATATTTTTTAAATTATGATAAACATTTTGTTAGTTGACAAATTTTTTGGCATCTCTCTTAGGAACCGATTTAACTGCGCTGTTTGGGTGGTCTTCTTTCAAAGTGTTCACGGTAAGCCTAATTGTCTATTGTCTGCTTTACATTCAAAGATAAGAGATTTTCCGCTTTTCTTTTTAGGATTCGGTTTTTAACTCTGACAAATCTCTAAATCATACAATATTAATTTTGAACCAAATCCCCAAACCCTAATGTTTTCACAATTCAAACTGTTATTGCTGTGTTCTCTTGACTGTAGACAAGTAGTCTCTTTCTTTCATTCAACCACTCCCATTTCTCTCAATTCCTCCTTTCTTTTTCTTTTGGTATTCCGGAGAAATAAACCATCCTCTCTGGGGGGGTGTGACAGTCTCCTACAACTCTCTATGTCTCTCTCACTCTCACTCTCTCTTTCGGAATCATTGTTATATTAGTATGTCTGCGTCTCTTCATCTCCTACACTCTCTCACCGAACCCAATGTCATTTTCCTTTTGAGTCTCGCCTGTTTCCTCGTTTTACCTGTGTGCTTGGCCACCGGCCAAATATAAATACAAAATGTATTTGTGGGTGGTCTTGTTTGGGTCATATTTATCTTGAAAAATATTAGGGAAAAAAGTTATTTTTGGTTTTTGAGAAGCCCCTTCTGTTGCTTCGCTACACTAGTTGTTTCCCATAGCAACCTTCATTCTCCATTCCCGTTTCCGGCATTTTTTCTCTTGTTTTCATGGTTTCGTATAGTATATTTGCGTCGCTTTTAGGTGCATCTCGAGTGCAAAATTTGGCAGAATTCAACAAAAAAGTACTTTTTTGAAAACTAGGTTCGCTTCTGGTTTTTTACCCGACGAAAATTGGCTCAAAGTTAAAAGTTAATGACCCCTTCTTCTACAGGTTTTACTGTTATGCTGATTTTATTGTAAAATTGAACGTTTTAGAATTTCGAAAACTCTGGATTCCTGATTGCGAGCCGTCATTTTGTCAGCTCATATTATCTAGGAATTTTAGAACTTGAAAAAAATGTCACCAAAATTCGGGGGTTGTCAAACATTTTGAACCTTCTGCATCAATTTCAAATTCAATTATCTTCTCTCTTCCTATCTCTATCTCTTTCACTTCCTAACCAACCATGAATAATTTTGCTCCTTCTACTAGTACATGTATTGTTTCACAATACAAGAACAAAAATAACAGAGACTCTCACAAATGAAACTGTCTGTTTGTGTCTCATCCTCACCAATTTTTCTTGTTTGTCTTTGGACTCTCTTTTTACAATTCAAAACGTTTGCCACCCATTTTTTGTCTGCCGAAAAGGTTTTTTTTCCAAATAAATGTCACTGAAACAGGAGAATGTTTACGAGCGATACAAGCTCTAGTTTTCGTATTTCATTTCCTAGTTTGTGCTTTCTGTGAACCAGCAGACAGAGCAGAATAAAAAAGATGCAGAAATTAGAATGCTCCAGAATCCATTATTTCTGTCTCTCTCCTTTTTTGCTATTTTTCTCTCCAATTTTCCATGTATCATTTCTATGTGCGTCATAGAGACACTGTCATTGTAAAATCCGGTGGTATTGAATGCGTAAAACTGTCATAAAACAATCAACCCCACCAAAAATAACACATTTTAGTGTGATTTTTTTGACCATTCAACCATTGAAATTTTTGGAATTGAATCTTCTCTATCCCTCTCTCTTTTCTCATGTTTTGTGTTGGTTTTGATTAGTTTTTGGTTTTTTTTTGAATACATGAGTCACATAATTGGAAAGTCCTAGAATCGAGATATTTTTTAGAGTTATGGTAGCGTTTTTGCAAAATAACTAGACACTTAATTTTCAATTTTTTTTCAATTAATTTTCAATTTAATTTTCAATTTTTTTTTCAATTAATTTTCAATTAGTTTCAGATGAGTCACAGAATTGAATTAAAATTTAATTCAATTTCATTTGTTTCTCGGTTCAAATACCCCAAAAAAACCCTAATGAACATCCAAACCGTCTATTTTCAGGATACATATCTCTGTTCCTGTAAAAGAGACCAAGAAATGGTGTACCGACAAAACATTTTTTATATTATCATAAACATTTTTTTGTTGACCATTTTTTTTACATCTTTTACAGGAATCGAGACATATGAGCTCATTGTTTACGGTAGTTTAAATCCTAGTGAAACTCCCCATGAGACTGATCACAATTTTTCAAAGTTTTCGTTTAGTTTCCAAAATAATGGTATTGTTTCTATTCGAAAACTGTGACCTATTTAATATCCAAGTATCACATTTCCTGCTCCCGCCCATATTTATTCAACTTTACTAGGTTTTTTGTTTCAACCTCTAAATTTTTCCAGATTCTCAAACATGAGTTATTCGGCCAATTTGACATGTAAACATGGCATTTTGATACCGGCTCTGGAAACGACTCCACGGAATGCGATTTTGTATTTGGCTGGATTATTTTACTGTTTTTTGGGTGAGTCTTTTTTTCAGTTTTTATTCATGAATCTACAGTAATAATGAGACAATTTTATTGGAAGATTTTTTCGACGTTCCGAAGGATTCTGAGATCTTCAGACTACTTACTTGTTAAGATCAATTGACAGTTCTTTCAAGTATCCAAATAATTTTAATTAGCTAGTTCATCAAAGAAAAAGCAGTCAGCAAAAAAGGAAATTGTCAGTTTTGTCTAGAAAACATTATCAGCTGATATTCCCACACTGATAAAATAGTTGGCCAAACAGGTTTCACACGACTGTCTCTTTTCAGGCATCGCAATCGCCGCTGACATTTTCATGTGCTCAATTGAGCAAATCACGAGTGCAACAAGAAAAGTAAAAAGACAAAAGAAAATTGGAAGATTGGTATCAAAAGAAGGCGAAGAAGAAGAAGAAGAACAATTCGAATATATTCGGATATGGAATCCAACTGTCGCCAATTTAACATTGATGGCTCTTGGATCATCAGCTCCTGAAATTCTTTTATCAATTATTGAAATAGTTGGAAACGGTTTTAAAGCAGGAGATTTGGGACCTGGTACAATTGTTGGATCAGCTGCATTCAATCTGTTTTGTATTTCCGCGATTTGTGTATTTGCTGTTGGACAGGCTACGAAAAGAATCGAAATGTATCGAGTTTTCATGGTTACTGCATTCTTTGGAACATTTGCGTATATTTGGGTGTTCTTGGTAAGGGATATAGGAGGAAGGAGCAAGTATTTGAGTGGAAATTTAAAATTTTTAAGGTTCTGATTGTAATCACTCCGAACGTTGTTGATGTCTGGGAAGCAATACTTACATTGCTCTTTTTCATAGTTCTTGTTGTAATTTCCTACGCTGTGGATGCTGAAATCTGGAAGAAAAAACGTGCAACGGATCTTCATGAAGAGCTTGAACTGGCCCAGCAAGATGGAGGAAAGGAAGATGATAAACCAGAAAAACTAAGTAGTGAAATCAATAAATGGGCGAGCACTTTTAGTTTAACTCATGAGGATACGAATGCTGATGTTGTTGATGCGGTGCCACATTTGGATACGGTCAGAAGATGGACTAGAACTATTTCCCAAACTTATCCGTCTCTATCCGAAGAAGATCAAGCAAAGATTTTGGCATATAGAGTTAATAGGAGATTGGTTGGTTTTTGGGTAGAAAGGGAAGTTTTTAAAATTTTTACTTTTCCAGAGCCATGATCGTCTGTACTACCGTATCCGTGCCGTTCGTCAATTGTCCTCATCATGGAGGAAAAGTGAAGAAGAGGAAGTTCAGAAGTTGGAAAAACTGGAAAGTACGGATGGTGGAAATAAAAGTGGGTTTCTACCGTGAAACCTGTAATAGAAGGGTCCCCACACTGTTAAGTTTGAGCTCAATTATCTCAATTCCTATAAAAGATGTCAAAAACATGTTAATTGACAAAATATTAGGTTGGCGGGAAAGTCTTTGTCACTTTTTCAATAGTTTATTTCTCAAAGAAAAAATAACCGAATAATTAATTATATTGTCCATCATTATCAACAACATGTCTCCAACGTTCCCTCAATTTATGGATTCCATTGCGGTAGAATCCAGCCGGGCGTGAGGCAAAGTATTGTTTGAGTGCCGCTTCGACCGCTCCACGGGAATTGAAGCTTCTTCCTTCGAAGGCACGTGTCATATCGCCAAATAACCAATAGTCGGAAGGAGCAAGATCAGGAGAATACGGGGGGTGAGGGAGAACATTCCATCCATATCCCATCAGCTCCTGCTTCACTTGTTTCGAAACATGTGGACGAGCGTTATCATGTTGATAGTACACTTTCTTGTCTTTCAGGGCCAACGGTCGACTGCTTTCTTGAGGTTTCGTAGTTGAGTAGTGTAGAGGTCTCCAGTTATTGTTTTGCCCTCGGGCAGAAGTTCCCAGTAGATGGGGCCGTCCACTCCCCACCACACAGAGAGCATAACTTTTTTCGGATGAAGGTCGGGTTTGGGGACATCCTGTGGGCTCTCTCCTTCTCCAACCCACTGGGATTTCCTGTGGTGATTATCGTAGAAGACCCACTTCTCATCTCCGGTTATTAGCCGGTCCAGCCATCGATCGCCCGCGTGGAGAGTGAGAAGAGTAATCGAATCGTCGACTCGGCGGTCAAGGTTGGCTTGAGTCAGGTGATGAGGTATGAATCGACCAAAAAGTTTTCTCATTCCAAGAGACTTCAAACCTTCAAGGACTGTGCTATGGTGAACTCCGAATGTGACAGCTAGTTCACGGCTAGATTGAAATGGATCCGATTGCAATGCGTGCTTCAGCTTGTCCAAATCCAACTCACGGGGTCTCCCAGAGCGATCCTTTTCATCGAGCGAGAAGTCATCTTTTTCGAAACGATGGAACCAATTGCGAATAGTATTGTAGTGAGGGGCATGTGTGTTGTACACATTCTTCAAGAAAGTTTCCGAATCCTTCATCGTGGTGTGAGATAGGAAGAGGTAAATCAAAACATGTCTGATGTGAATAGCAGTGGGAACAAACATATCGTTTCAATTACAGATGAGGAGCAGGGAAGGAAATGGGGACTTGTTTATATGGAAGGTTCTTATCACCTTGTTATTCACTAGAGTCGATATCATACACAGCCTCCATATACGAGAACAGTGATTAAACAAACAGAGTGACAAAGACTTTCCCGCCAACCTAATACTTTTGATAATATGATAAACATTTTATCAATTGACATATTTTTATATCTTTGACCGGAACCAAGATATATTGGCTCAAAGTTGATAATTAGGAGACCCTCTATTACAGTTTCTACGGTAATTCCTATTTCTATGATTTTCAGAGAAGACACTCGTAGAATTCTCCGCTCGCATATACCGAGTTGACTCTACTGATGAGACTGTATCCCTAAAGGTAAATTTCCCTAATTTCTGGATCCCTAATTCTCTCTATATACAATTCATTTCGCTGATTACATCACAAACAATAGCGAATAAGACAAGGGCGGATTTAAGTCCAAATGAAATCATAATCTGTTTTTGAAGTAGCTATAGCTTATCTTTTGTTTCATAGAAAGACAGCAACGTGGTTCTCAGCTGGGGCAAACATCGTAAATTATAAGATTAGTCTGGATTAAAAGATATAAGATTAGTCAAAGAAGGATGGGTTGATCAAGGATGACCATTTTTGCAGATTGTTCGTAAAGGAAACATGGATTCCAAATTCACAGTAAACTACTCAACGGTTAATGGATTGGCAAAGAAGGACTTGAATTTCCTCTTCAAGTCTGAAACTCTTCAGTTCAGCCCAGGAGAGCTTCATAAGACGGTATCAAGAAGATTGCACAACGTCTTCTGAATTCATGAGTTTCAGATAAACATTCAATTGATTAATGCGGCTAACTGGAGACCAAACGATGTGTTCTATGTTCATTTGAAGATTCAAGATGAAGATGAAGACACCAAGGTTCGACTGGGAGCATGCAACGTGGCAAGAGTCAAAATGCCGGATGAGTCTGGAATGATGTTAGGAGGACCAGTTGTGGAATTTGTTAAACCAAATTATGTGAGTTCTTTGGTTATGAGGAACTAGATAGACTTGGCTTCTCGAGAAATGACCCGGTTTAAGCTGTTCTTGATCGTTGGACTCTGACTGTATAATATCAAGTAGCCCAAACTTGCAGATTGTCAAAGAGAACGCCGGATTCGCTAGGTCCTTTGTTACCAGACGAGGTGGAAAACTGAAGGAATCCCTCCGAGTTCATTACGAAACAGAAGATGTGACTGCAAAACAAGGAGAGGATTATACATCTGTTAAGGATGGAATAATAACTTTCGAGGGACAAGAATATGAGAAATACATTGATATCGATATCATTGATGATAAAATGGATGAGAAGGATGAAGCATTCATTGTTGAACTAATGAAAGTTGGAGCGGGAGAAGCAACAATTGGAACAAGAAGAAAAACTACAATCACTATTATTTCTGATGATAATGTCTTGAAAAATATCACTAATGTCCATAAGCTCATGGGACATTATATGAGACAGCTGAGACCTGGAAAAGCCACGTGGAAGGAACAAATTCTGAATGCAGTTTCTGTAAACGCTGGAGATCTTGCGAACGCTACAGTATCCGATTGTATACTTCATGCTCTTGCATTCCCATGGAAGTTTGCTTTTGCCTTCTTACCACCACCGACTATTTTCTACGGATATCCATGTTTTGTGGTGGCTCTCGTGGCTATTGGATTTGTAACTGCTGTTGTTGGAGATGTTGCATCGATTTTCGGATGTATGGTTGGATTGAAAGATGCGGTCACTGCGATCACTTTGGTTGCTCTTGGAACATCTCTTCCAGATACTTTTGCATCGAAAATTGCAGCCGAAAGTGTGAGTTATCAATTGATAAATTGAAAAATCACTGCGCCTACCATATGGGTCCGAAATTCATTAGAATCTTCTTATTTCACCGAAATTGAGTAATTTTGGCACATAATTTGGAGGGTGCGACAATTCGAGGGGGTACAACGAGGTGCAAAGAAATTTAGGGGTACAAAATCCACAATTCGAGAGTACAAAATTCGCCTTTTTAAGGTGTTTTGTACCCCCGAATTGAGGACTTCGTACCCCAATGACCCAAAAATGTGGGTATGATCCGAATCATTTGTCTTTTGTCGGATTAAAAAAATGACACCTGAAAATCTCGTAGACGGCGCTCGTGTCGATTTACGAGGGGGTGGAGCGAAAACGGATACTGTAGATAACAAATTTATTTATGTGAATTTAGTGTGATTTTCTGAACGAAATTTTGATTTCTTGGTATAAAAATGATCGCTAGCATCTCTAGAATCCATTTTTCAGCAAAAAAACTAAACTTAAACGCGAAAGTAGCTCGAACGAGCCAAAGGTCTGAAATATTACGTTTCTGCCGCGCTTTTTTGTAGATCAAAAAAAGCAAAAGTTTTCAAACTCTCAGGTGTCACTTTTTTAATTCGACAACAATTTCTTAAACAAAAAATAGGGTCTCAACGAACTTCTCAGATTTAAAATTTGTATTTTTAGTAGCTCGTTTAAAAAGGCTTTTTATGTTAAACATCGAAAAATCTTTGTAGGACGACACTGCTGACAACGCTGTCGGAAATGTGACTGGCTCAAACTCGGTGAACGTCTTCCTCGGATTAGGTCTCCCATGGGTCATCGCCTCCCTTTATTGGGCATCAAAGGGAGAATCATTCCGTGTGGACGCTGGTGATTTGGGTTTCAGGTGAGCAACATTTTCTACTACGCCTACATTTAGTATGTCAATTTCCTGCCCAAACAATATTAGTGACGTCGTTTTGGGTTGCACGTGGCGATCAGTTGTTGCAAAAAAAGAAGAAGATAGGATTACTCATGTGATTCGAAGTTTTTTTTCAGCGTCACCGTGTTCATGATCTGTTCTGTTCTGTTTTTGGTTGTATTGGTTCTTCGAAGGAAATTGGCTCTATTTGGACAAGGAGAGCTGGGTGGTCCATTTGGTCCAAAGACTCTGTCTACACTGTTTTTCGTGGGCCTATGGATTACATACGTTGCATTGTCGATTTGGAATATGTACAGAGTTGACCATAAGTAATGTTAGAATACCCTACATTGATCTATTTTTATCTTTGATTTTTAAATTTTGATTCAATTCTGACCTCACTGTGATTGCATAATGAAATGAGTTTTTTTCCAAAGAAATAAATAACAATTTTTATTTAACAGATCGTGCTTTTTCATTTGATTTTTTTCCGGAAATACTGCGAAGGTTATAGTTTCCGGTCAAACTGGATAGACCTTTTTGTATAATCTGTTTATTCTGTTTATGACATCCGTTGCCTGCTCTAGTCTCGTCCGCATGGCTTAGTCGATTGCGGCACCGCATCTTCAATACTCGTCCCAGAAGTTCAACTCCTCGAGAGACTCACTTGAACAAAATGTCGAGACAGTTTCTTTGTTTATGTCCCCCACACCTTCAAGACTTCCAGAACCTCCGTTCTCCAAAATGTTTCGGACACTTGCTGAAACGTGACGTTTTGCAAAAAAAGATCCTGAACCTAACCGAATTAGGTCAAAACATGTTTCCAATTCTGAAAAAAAGTTTCACATATTTAGAAATTGCGTCACAAACGCATTAATTTTCTATTACTACTACGTCTACACTTCAAACATAAAATAAGATCATTGTTATCCAGGTTCACCTGTTCCTCCTCTGCCAATGAGGTAATAATTCTTATTGACGGAAATGTTGCCGACAGATTACAGCTGATTTTGTTGTTTTAGCAGCACGTGCTAACATGTATTAGCACAATTTGTAGATAATACACTCTGGTTGATTTTGTGATCATACAAGGTGATCAGAGGAAATTTAAGAGTTGGTGAAGAAAACAGAATGTCAGAAGAACCAGAAAATATTGAATTTCCGGACTTGCATTTCCGGGCTTGCCCATGGGCTCTTCATTTTAAGAGTTTAGAATAAGATGTCAGGAACTTGGTTATCTCGATATGTCATGAAGTTAAAACATCCAAATATATAAATTAATATTTCGGAAACATCTCAAATTTGTTGGGGACTCCTGCCAAAGAATTTTATGGCACCAAAACGAGAACTTCAGTTTCAGCGCAGCACGCTCTCCCACAGAACAATTCCGAACTGCAAATTAATTTTTGATCTACAGAAAAAAGTTTGGCGCGATCACAATTGCAGGTCTAAAACCATAATTTCAGAATTTTTTATCTGATTTTGTGGAGTTCCAAGATGATTCAAATAATTCTTAAGAAATTAATTAGTGGTTATAGATTCATGTATGGTCGTTTTCCGGAAGAAAAAATGTCAAAAATGGTCGTTTTGAAAGTTTTTTACAGAAAAAATCTATCTCCTCTTTCAGTTTTTGACATTTCTAGGAGTTCTTTAGCTCA